AAAATAAAACAAAACAAAAAAAACCCAACCAACCAAAAAAACTGAAGTGCAATATTTGGTCCACATACGTTGAGAGCTTATTTAGATACATTTTTTCTTAGATTTAGATACATTTTCTTTTTTAAAATTTAAATCTGTGGCTGTTTCACTTGATTATCTAAAACTTAAATAATGTCCAAGTTCTTTTGGAAGCTGGCTGGACAAAAATTAATAGATTACAACAAATAAATGTACTTATAGAAACTTTTCTGATCTTGAGCCTACCAATTAATGCTAACTGAAAATATCTGAACTAGGAAAAAGTCTGTTTATAAAATAATAATGTCTAGAACTGTATTTAATTTCTATAATCCACAGAGTACCTAAATTTATTGTAGTAGGCAATTATAAAAGCTTGCTTTCTTTTTTTTGTGGCTTTGCACATGCTAGGCAAGTGCTCCACCACTGAATTACATCTCCTAGCCTCTTTTTTGCTTTCATTTATTTTTTTGAGACCGTCTCACTATGTAACCAAGGCTGACCCTGAACTCCCAATCATCCTTACCTCAGTTTCCAAAATGCTGGGATTATAGGCATAAGCCACCAAGCCCGCTTCTTTTTTGCTTTTGACAAAAAGGTTCCTATGAACTTAGTGTTACTTTTACGTTAGTATTTCATGAAACTTGGAATTTTAAGATCCACCTCTCTTAGTCTTAATAACCCTCATACATCTCATTCTTTCTTAAAGAAAATTCTGAGGGGAGGAGGGGGAGGTGGCCAACAGTGTAAAAACACGTATACACTTCCATTTTACATGTAAGTACACATGCAAAAACGATAAAATGAAAGAAAATTCTGTCACATCTCAATATTTCTGTTGACTGAAATAAGAATATTTTAATGATCTGCATTAATTTTAATTCCCATTTTCTGTCCCCAAACTGAAGTTCATAAATAAACTCATTTTGTTGGAAAGTAAGGCTAACAAGGCTTCATAGGCTTAATTAAATCAGCAGTGACAGGCTTTTCCTCTTAGCTCAGAATTAGGAATCCGTGGTCAGACAGTAAAATTCCGAAGACACGCACTTTTTATGTAAGAGTTCTCATATGACTCCCTGCACAGGGCTACAAGATTTATGAGTAGAATTTTCCAGACCTTAATTTTTAAAAGCATAATCCATGATTAGAATAGCTAAATAGTTAAGATTAAATTAAGAGCAAACCATTTTGAAAGATGCCATAGAGACAGTGTGGACTTAAAAGATACAACACCCTGCCAGGTGCTGGTGGCCCATGCCTATGATCTTGGCTCTTCAGGAGGCAGATATCAGGAGGATCATGGTTAAAAGCCAGCCCCCTCTCTCAAAAAAACCCATCACAAAACAGGGCTGGTGGAGTGGTTCAAGTGAGAGAGTACCTGCCTAAGCAAGTGTAAGGCCCTGAGTTCAAACCCCAGTGCAGCCAAAAAAACCAAAAACAACACACTACTTGTTTTCCTTTTTAATCCTTAACTATGTCAGTATCTCTGAATACAGCTCAAGACTTGAATATATGGGTTGAGGGTATAGCTCACTGGTAGAGCATTTGGTAAGCATGTGTGGGGCCCTGACTTTGATCCCTAATAACACACACACACAAAACCTTAAGTATTTTTCTTTTTTTTGAGATAGGGTCTTACTTTGTAGCCCAGGCTGGACATGAACTCCTGGTCTCAACTGATCTTCCCATTTCAGCTTCCCCAGTGGCTTAGACTACAGGCCCATACCACTGTGCCTGTTCCTGACTTAAGTAATTTTTCTGTTTCCCTACTCAGAATCCAAACTCTAGAACTTTGGGTCAGTTTAGAGTGCAGCCTCAATCATAGGCAATTCTTTTTTTTGGTGGTGGTGGTGGGAGGGGGGCTGGTACCTGGGTTTGAACTCAGGGCTTCCTGCATTGTTCGGAAGGCACGCTACCGCTTGAGCCATGCCTTGAGCCCCTAGTAGGTGATTCTTTTCACTCAGGCTGTTAGCTTGCTTTTAAGCTTAGGTTGAAGAATGCACTGCTGCCTTTGTCGAAGGTCTTTTTCCACTACTGACAGAAAATCTGAATGCTACAGTGAAAAAAATTCAATTACTTAATTCTTTCTAAACACAGGTTTCTCTGCTATATTTTGAGAGGTCTCCTGTATGTTCCTTTTTCGTGTTCGAGAAAGTCTTTTATTTCACTGTTTATTTATTTTTTCAGTGCTGGCAATACTGAGCTATATCACCACCCACCTGCACCATTTTTTGAAAGATAATTTCACAAGACATAGGATTCCTGCACCCAACACTAAATATTTTATTCCTCTCTCTTCTTGCTTGCATGATTTCTGAGAAGTCTGATGCTACTTTTATCCTTACTTGAGTAAAGATTCAGGCTGCCTGCCATTGGAAGGGCCAATACTTGGGAGATGAGATTTGGTAGGCAGGCATCTGGTTTATTCAACGTGTTGCAATCTTCAGAAGATAGAAGGGCTATAGGCTCAAAATTCCATCTCAAAGAACTTGAGCTCAAAGGGCTTTTTTTTTTTTTTTTTTTTTGGTGGTACTGGGGTTTGAACCCAGGGCTTTGTGGTAGGCACTTTACCGATTGAGCCATGCCTCCAGCCCTCTTTGCTCTGACTAATGGGATGGCAGGTGCACACCATAATGCCCTGCTTTTTTCCATTGAGATGGGAGTCTCACAAACTTTGTGAAAATTCTTTTTTCTTTTTGACAGCACTGGGCCTCCTGCTTCCTAGGCAGGTGCTCTTACTGCTTGAGCCACTCTGCCAGCTCACAAACATTTTTGCCTGGGCTACCCTGGACCTGCAATCTTTTTCAGCCTTCTGCATAGCTTGGGATGACAGATGCCATCTATTGGTTGAGATGGCGTCTCATGAACTCCTTACCCTGGTTGGCTTTCACCTTGATCCTCCTGATCTCAGTCTCCCAAGTAGTTAGGAGTACAGGTATGAGCCATAGCTAGATTACATACAGGTGGAAGCCAAGTGCCTACCACCTAGGGCAAAGTACTCCAAAGCTAAATTTTTACATCATAATTTGCAAACAAATCACTTGGGGATCTAGTTTAACTGCAGAGTCTGATGCAGTAGGCCTGGGCTGAGACACAAGAGCCTTCACTTTCAGTAAGTTCACAAGTAAGGTCCAACTTCATTCACTGATCTGACATTCTGACTAGTAAGGTTCTAAAGAATATTTTCAATTAACATTTAAGTTTTGATAAATAAATACCCTCCTTCACACACCCATACTCAAAGACTTAAGTGCACCCGAATTCACTCATATGCAAAATCAGTGACATATCAAAAGTCACTTTGGGGTGCAATGAATTTATAACCTATCACCTCCATTTCTGCCCCTCCTCCCCAATTCAATAGGTGAAGCAGGCAAAGTTTATTTACTTACAAAGTATGAGTGACTCCACTACCTGATGCTTTAATCTCTCTCTCTCTCTCTCTCTCCTTTTTTTTCCTTTTGGCGGTACTGGGGTTTGAACTCACGGCCTTATGCTTGCTAGGAAGGTGCTCTACCACTTGAGCCACTCCACAAATCCTTAATCTCTTTTTAAGAAACTGCTGAACATGGAACCAAGTACTAAGCAATCATTTATTCTTTTTGAATAAAATTTCACACTGTTATTTTGTCCATAGGAAGAAAGGTTTTAATATTCCTATGAAAAAATACCACATACCATCTCTGGAAATAGAATGAACCAAAAACTAGATTTGTTAGTCTTGCTATCCTATAAAGTGTCCATATATTTTTCACTGAAATCCTCCTTGACTCTTGAAAGTATCATATTCAAATCTATCTAAAACACTATCCCTTAATCATGGACTAGGTTTCCACAATTGGGTGCCCTGCAATTCTGAGATGGTTCTCTTGATCTTCCATCAATGAACTCAATCACTTCCTCCATCAAAGTCATACATTAACAATAGACAGAAGAAAAATAGTTTAGATTTTATCAGTACACATGTAACAATCAAGCCATGAAAACAAACATAATCTAAGATGCATGATATTTGTTCTCTAAACTAAAATTTATAGATATGTATGTATGTGTATTTTTGTAAAATGGATTCTACCTGAAATATTTCAGGGGAAATCCTAACATAAATTTTGTTTTGAAACTGGAAACACATACAAATATGTATATTTATAAAATGTATTAGTATGTATATATAAAATATATTAAGTACAAAAGTATAGAGACACTGTGTAAGTAAATTTATTGAAAAGCTCTGTAAAATATTCAGTATCACATTCAAACCTAATTTTAAAAGTTTCTAAAGTACTTACAACTACACTACAGTGTTTATTATAGTTTGTTAAATAAATTTACTATGTACTATGTCTAATCCTTTTAAAATCTTAAGTTTGTGCTGATTATTACATCTCTGATACTTAGAGTAAATGATGAAATATGAAAGGATAACAATCTACTTTCTTCAGGATAATCTGAAGCCAATCCTTTGCAATCTTTATCTAAGAACTAATTCTGTCAAAAAGAAAAGAAATCACTTCACTTAATTATTTCACCAAATGAGAGTTTGCTGTAAGGAACATGATGCAAGTTACTGCTAGAAGTGAGCCAAAAAGCTAGGCCTTACAGAGACTCACATTCTAGTATGCTTTTTGGACATACATTTCTTCCTCTAATAGCAAAATGCAACTTAAAAATAAAATTTTATTTGAATAGCAAAGTTAAGTTCCAGCTAGAATTGAAAAAAACCAAAGGTCAAAAATGCCAAATTGCTAACTTAGAAAAAGGTTTGTAATTATTACACAAAATAGAAAATACATTTAAAAGATACTATCTATAGAAATACTGTAGTTAATATTTTTGTCACCATGGCAATAATAAAGTTAAACATTATCTTTTAGATGAGTAAATGAAAAAGGTTAAAAAATATGCATCACTTAACAAAAAGAAAGCTAAACTGAAGGTTGCCACTTTACAAGAGAAAAATGTGTTTGTTTTCTTTCTTTCAGAGGCTATGTGGCCCCTCCCACTTGTTCTGTGTCCTGCCTGGTTATTTCTTGATGTTCTGTTTTCAACTGCATCCATCATGCACCTCTGTGCCATTTCAGTGGATCGTTACATAGCTATCAAAAAGCCGATCCAGGCCAATCAATATAACTCCCGAGCTACCACATTCATCAAGATTACAGTGGTGTGGTTAATTTCAATAGGTATGTGGGGAATGCCATGGTGTGGGTAGAGTACATAGCCTTTGGTTCCATTTGGTGAGGAGAATGCCAGGTCTGTAGGCCAGGAAACTCAGGAGGAGAGGTCAAGAAAGTCTACTGATACAGCAACACAAGGTACTTATGTCACAACATTCGTCATATAGCTTCTAAACCACACTGTTAGTAAAAATTGTAAAGAAATAGTTCATGTCTTTAGAACCAACTTCAGTGTTTATTGAGATATCATCTCACTTTGATTTTAATATGCAGGAAGGCTAAGTCAAAAAACAGTTTTCATATCTATCAATTGATCATTAAGGTCTAGCTAGCATGAGGAATCCTGCAGATACATTAACGAAACAACAAGATGCATCTTTAGTCACATCTAAGAAGATAAATAGGAAAAGAAAAAACCAAATCAAAACTTTTGTAAGCAGGTATCAAAGATCATAAATCCATGTAGGAAGTTAACTTTCCAATATGTGTACAGATGAAAGGCATTTAAATGTCTATGCTGTGTCTCAAAGGTTCAAAAGTTTTAAGATAGATGCAAAGAAAGTGTTGAACTGATGTTCAGAAATGATTTATAGAAAGAAATCAATCCCACTTCTTGTAAACTGTTTTATGTCCCCATTCTTATCTTTAGTGCTCAATGACAGCTGCTGGAAGGGCTCCTTGTCATGAGTACATCATATGTTACTCAAAGCTCTTACAAGTTAATACCACAGAATCAAGCACATTTGCAACAAATACAGTGATCTGACCAGCAAATTCACTTCTTCCTAGCAGAAAAAACTCAAAGAGGAAAAAATGAAGAGACCTGAAGTACTAAAAGGCAAGAAAAAGATGTTATTTCTCTTATCAGAGTAAGCGTATAGTTAAAAAAAAGAAGAAAGTAAGAGAAATTGACCACTGAATTTGTGAAATAATGCTACTGAAGGTAAAAGCAAGGCATGCTAGTACTCTAACGTGGTAAGAAACTAGGGTTAAGGAAAACTCTATTCAGAACGGAGAGATTTATAGCCATGAATAAAAGGCCAATTTAAAGGATGGGCTGACTGACACAGAACAGTACCCTTCCCCAAAACAAGAGAGTGGGAGACAATGGTGATAATAAAATTTGAAGTTGAGTGGAAAATAAATCTAGAGTCATTCATTCCAACTGACTCTTTGTTTTTTGTAAGCTCACTGCAATGAGGGAGAGAAAAAGTATGATGAGGTGTGTGAGTGTTGGGTTGTGGTGGGAATAGGGCAGAGGTAGGGAAAAAGGGGAAATGGATCCTTAAATAGAATTAAAATGTTTGAAACTATGAAATATGATCAAGCCAATGTGGTAAACAGCTTGTTGGTTAAAAGTGGTATGTAAATTAAGGCAGGATAAAATGAACTTATAAATGGATCAAATTCTTAGTGGTAGGTACTAAATTCTTAGTGCTAGGTACTAAGAATACATGGACTGGGAAAAAAAAAGACTCTTTGCCCTCAATGAAAGCAGATATACAAACAAATTACACTAATAGAAAGCGATAATATATAATGTATTAAAAGGAACTCTAAATTTTGAAAATAAATCTCACAACTTATACTCTCAAATTAGGTAGCATTTTTTAAAATAATAATGAGTCCTTTAGTTTTCCCTAAAAGTTAGGATTAAAAGACATTCACAAATATCAAGATAAAACCATCTGTTAAATGAAACTGTATAATCTCAAAGATAATAAATGAAAAAGGTATCTACTGAGAAGTAACATACTGAATGACTATACCCTGAAGTCTCTAGATCAACAATACTTCTGAATTCCTTTTCCTTAACCTGGGATAGACCGAAAATCAAAAAGATTAAGAAACACAGAACAGATGAAGGCACTGGCTACTCTATCACAGACAGATATCTTTAGGGAAGCTTTAACCATAAATTTGAACTCACTAATCAAGCTCTTTGTTTAACAACAGATTTGCTAATTTATGTTCTATTTGTCAAAGACTTCATTGATAAGTGCCTCAACAGATTCTACTACTGTGGGTCCCAAAAATTACAATGCACTAATCAGTATAAAGTTACAAGGATAAATCTGAGAGGAACTAATCTAAGAGTGACAGGTCATAATAATGACTCAATTTATCTTGTTCTCTCTTCTTCAGGCATTGCAATTCCAGTCCCCATTAAAGGGATAGAGACTAATGTGCTTAACCCAAACAACATCACTTGTGAACTAAGAAAGGAACGGTTTGGCAATTTCATGCTCTTTGGCTCATTGGCTGCCTTCTTTACACCTCTTGCAATCATGATTGTCACCTACTTTCTCACTATCCATGCGTTACAGAAGAAAGCTTACTTGGCCAAAACCAAGCCACCTCAACGCTTAACATGGCTGTCTGTGTCCACAGTTTTCCAAAGGGAGGAAACACCTTGCTCATCACCTGAAAAGGTGGCAATGCTAGATGGTTCTCGCAAGGACAAAACTCTATCCAGTTCAAGTGATGAAACACTTATGAGAAGAATGTCTTCTATTGGGAAAAAGTCAGCGCAAACCATTTCCAATGAACAGAGAGCCTCAAAGGTTCTTGGAATTGTGTTTTTCCTCTTTTTGCTTATGTGGTGCCCCTTTTTTATTACAAATATAACTTTAGCTTTATGTGATTCCTGTAACCAGACTACTCTGAAAATGCTCCTAGAGATATTTGTGTGGATAGGTTACATCTCCTCAGGGGTTAATCCTTTGGTCTATACCCTCTTTAATAAGACATTTCGGGATGCATTCAGCCGATACATCACCTGCAATTACCAGGCCACTAAATCAGCAAAAACTCTTAGAAAATGCTCCAGTAAGATCTACTTTAGGAACCCAATGGCAGAGAACTCTACATTTTTCATGAAACATGGAATTCGAAATGGGATTAATCCTGCCATGTACCAGAGCCCAATAAGGCTCCGAAGTTCAACCATTCAGTCTTCATCAATCATTCTACTAGATACACTTCTACTCACTGAAAATGAAGGAGACAAAACTGAAGAACAAGTTAGTTATGTATAGCAGAACCTGCACGGTTTCATCTAAACGTAATGATGATAACAAACAAGATTAAGTGTGCATCAAGAATTATGTAAAGAAGAATTTTATGTCATATATCAAATCATCTCTTTTGAAATGAAGAGTTAAGTGTTAAAATTATCCAATTTTCCTTATATGGACAAAATTACTCCATGAAAAAAGTAATTTTCTATGGCTACAAGCAAAAGCAAGCCAGCACTATGTTTAAATATTAGTTTTCAAATGAAATGAGATTATAAATAAATTTCAGCTTTAAAAAAAAATCAATGTTATAAAACTTATTTAGTTCCTAATTTTATCCAAAGTTGTGTTAACAGTAAAATAAAGCCAAACAAATAAGCATTAGCCCTATCTTCAAGGCCTTAAAAGATAGGAAAAAAAGTGACAGAAATGAGCACTAAAAATGAATGAATAAAACAATGATCATATCTGGATGTGAGTTAAGAGTACCTGTATTAGTCTGGTTTAGTTAAATGCAGTAATAATTTTCCTTCAAAATTATGTGTTGATAGAAGGGATAGGAAAAACAGTAGTCAGATATCATACAAAGTAACAAGATCTTAAACTAGAGCTATTTGTTAAATGGCTATTATTAGGCATCTAATTCAGCAGAAAGAAATGAAAGCAATGAAATCCCTCTGTGTACCTGAACAATATTATATTCCTTAAGGTATAAATGAATGTGCTCAAGCTGGAAGTATATATAGATCTCAATCTGGGGATCTAAACAGTAAGTGATCTCAAGAACTGAGACATGGCTGCTTGTGTCAGCCCAGTGATTAGGTTGAACTTACAGCACGAAATTTTTCAGTTACCCTGTATTTCATTTTGTATTGCTAAATATGGGAATAGGCCAACCTGTGCCACTTACTGCATTGGTGACTGAATTTTTTATGTTTTTTTTTAATACTACTATAAATGGTAGGCCAAGAGGGCTGGCAGCGGAGACAGCCCATGACAGCTTTTCCATCTAATGTTGAACCCTATTTATGCCTTAAGCTATTGCTCTGTCACTGACCCTATGCAAGGCAACTCAATTTAGGATAATAGCCTAATGAAATGTGGAGAATCTGAATGTAAGTAAACCAGACATCTATGCTTCCAGTGGTAGAATATATTGCTAGCACATGGATCTAATACATAGAGCCCAACCTATAACCTTTACTTATAGGCTCTATATTATCTTCCAAGCAAATTATATCTTACAAATTTAACTCTTAAATCATCAAAGCTTTAGGTACTTTTCCCTAATGGTTTAAGATTTCTCAGTACTATTAACGGTGTTATCTCAAATAAGAGACAAAACAATTTACATTTCTATTAAAAAAAAGAAAAAGCACACACACAAAAATCACTGTTTTGGTTCTCAGCTCTATTATGAGTTTGACATATATTAAGATTTATATTATTGCCAAGGTCCATAAGATGTTTTTTTTCCCAGCTGGGTGCCAGTGGCTCATGCCTCTAATCCTAGCTAACTTGGGAGGCTAAAATTAGGAGGATCAAGGTTCAAGGCCAGCCCATGTAACTAGTTCATAAGACCCCCATCTCCAAAAGAACTAGAGCAAATGGACTGGAGACATGGCTCAAGCAGTAGTGCCTGCTTCATAAGCATGAAGCCCTGAGTTCAAATCCCATCCCACCAAAAAAAGAAAGGAAGGAAGGAAAGGAAGGAGGAACAATTTTTTTTTTCTCCAGTGCTGGGGATCAAATCCAGGGCCTCACAAATGCTAGGCAGGGGCTTTACCACTGAACCAAGTCCTCAAGCCCTAACAAGATTGTAAAGTTTTCAGATATCACAATGACAGCATGCATTTAAAGGGATACATAATTGTTTCAGAAAATCTAAATACTAGAGTTGGCAATAACACTGCCCAACCTCTTCCCATGTACAATCTAGATCAGAAGAACTATCTTTCCACATGCTCTGTACTACTTCCAAATTTGTGTATGTGTTTAAATATATGTGCACCTATACAACCAGCTATAATACCTGTAAACTGTTTAGCTTCAAATTCTAAAAAAAACTTCCTTGCTTACAATAAAAGATGTTTCTATAGTTAAGAAGTCTAGTATTTCCAGAATAGTCTACAAAATGAAAGACAACTCAAATATAAACTATTTGTGAAAAAGGTAGAACATAGTTCCAAATTTTTACCACCTCAAAACCTATTTCCATTTTACAAATATTTTAAAGAAATCTATAATTTGAGAGCAAATTTAGCAATTAAACATCCCTAATTCTATTTAGTAGCCTTACTTTTAAAGCAAAAGAACAGACTGTCATTATTTACAATAATTTTGAAAAAATCTTTTCATTCTAGTCTATTATTGCTAATTAATCAGAGGGGAAAACAAAGGTGTAGGAAAAAAGCATGAAAAAGACAAAAGTAAAGTAAGGAAGTCACAGCACACATACCATAAACACAAAGATACTGAGGCAAAAGAAGAGAACAGCAAACAGTGAATTTATGTCAAACTGATAGAAAATTATGAATGGAGGGGTTGAGGAACGTACTTCAGTGGTAGAGTTCTTGCCTAACAAACAAGGCTTTGGATTTTATCCCCAGGAAGGCAAACAAACAAACGAAGTGAATAGAGATGTTGTAAAGATGAATCATGGATAAACTTGATTGCTAGAGTTTCTTTAAATTATAAGCATCATAATGATGCAAAATTTTTAAGTCAAGGAATCATTGTGCAGTCCAAAAAATTTATCTGCACCAAGAATTCTTCACTCATCTTTCAAGACCCATATATTTAAGATATATAACTATATACACCAAGAAATATTTAATTTCTTATTGTAACAGCCTAAGTCATAGCAACCAGGAAGCTCTAAGATTATCTAATTTTAAGAAATATTCTAATTAGATTATCAACTTGTTCACCATTATAGCAACTTAATTTCAATAAGTATATAAAGACCAATGTTTCTTTTGATTTATTTTCCTTTCCAGTGTCAAGTTAAAACAATTTAGATTCATTTCTAAGTGAATTTCAGTTATAATATCAAGTATGGAGTTGTTCTAGTAAGATCTATTGACTAGACAGATAACAAAGAGCCAATAATCATATATTTAGTATTCTACTAGAGGTCATTTAGATTAAAATTAAAGAATTATATTAATTTCAATTTAGCAAGACCAGTTTTAAGTTTAATTTTCTACTTTTTAAAAGTTTTTTGCAGTACTGGGTTGAACTCAGGGTCTTGTGCTTACAAGTGGGGGTGCAGTCTACTGCGTAAGCCATGTGCCTCTACCCCATTTTGCTTTCATTATTTTGGGGACAGGGTCTTCAAAAAGAAGGCTTCAGACCCCTAAGTGCTGGGATTACAGGTGTACATCATCATATTAGCAATTTTTTACTTTCATCATATCATTTTGGAGAAATAATTCACAAATATCTGGAGAAAGGAATGGTAACAATACTACAACTCCATGGATTGTCTTGTGAATAAAGAAAATAATATACAGGAGAATTTTACTTGAAGACAATTTCATCTTAGTTGATGAAGGACAAGTAAATGTTTACTAAGGTTTTCAGTATTTATGGCCAATATCATAACTAAAAAGAAGTTCTAAAAAAATTAAGAGAGCTGTAGGCTCAAATGGTAGAGCACTGGCCTACCAAGTGCAAGCCTCTGAGTTGAAACCCCAGTACCACAAAAAGAGAAGGAAATTCTTAAAATAAGGCCAAATGTCTGCAAGGTCATTTGAAAGTAACATCTAGATGCCAGGCACAGTGGCACATACTTGTCATCCTAGCACCTGGGAGGCTGAGTGAGGGAGGATCCTGAGCTCAAGGCCAGCCTGGGCTACCAGTCATAGTGTCTCACACCTGTAATCTCAACAACTGGGGAGGTAGAGATTGGGAGGATTACAGCTCAAGGCCAGCCCAGAGAAAAAGCTAGAGAGGACATGCTTGAAAGTAAATGATGTCCCACCAGAAAAATGTAGTAAGTCTTAGAAGACAGGACTCTCAATATTAAAGTTAGTAAGAAAACTTAAGAATAAAAATGTTCTATCAGAGCTGTTTCAGGATGACAGAACTCTGATTCAAAAGCATAGTGAAGAAAGCACAGATCTATCTATCATGGGACTGTTCAGATCTCAGTTCTATCATCTAGCTCCACAACAATGGGAGCTTTCTTAACTCTTTTGGAATTCAATTTCATTATTTTCATATGTATATGTGTATTATGATTTCTGTTTCTTTCAACTTTAAAACTCCTCACTCTAGGGAAATGGCATTAAACTAAAATTTAGAGGACCTGGTTTTAACACCAGCACCTTAAACAAATTGGTTGCTTAATTTTCTTCCTCTATGAAAGAAGTTTTAGTGCTGGAGTCGTAGCTTAACCGGTTAGAGCACCTGCCTAGCAAATGCAAAGCCAGCACTGCAAAATATAAATAAGTTGTTTTAGACAAGATTATCTCAAAATATTTTCCAGTTCCTACCACTTAAACAACCATACTATAGAAAATGAACACAGATCCCTTAGTTAAGTCAGGCAATGATAGTGCACACCTATAATCCTAGCAACTTGGGAAGCTGAGACAGGAGGATCAATCGAGTCCGGGAGTTCAGGATCAGCCTGGGCAACATGTGAGTCCCTGTCTCCAAATAAGAAAGAAAGCAAGAAAGTGACAGAAAAGACAGAAAAAGGCAGGAAGGGAGGAGGGGGAGAGAGAGACAGACAGACAGAGACAGAGAAATAGAAAGAAAGAGGGGTTTCTTAGAAGTAGTAAGCACATAAACAACTCATTGCCTCGATCCAACTATAGTATGAAGTAGAGAGCTATTAGCAAAACCAAGAAACAGTTCACGTGAGACATCTGCTGCTGGAACTGGGAAATGTAGCTCATGCATGAGTGACAGGAAACACAAGGGCAGAAATGAACTCTGATATCAGAGAGAAGAACTGCCAGGCTAACAGTGAAGAAAAAGCTTCATAATGTCCACTAACCGCCTGTGTGGCAGGATATACCCACCAGGCCACTGACTTACAGTGACATGAAATATAATAAAACAATGTATGAGACAAATTTGAGTAGAATTCTTCATACAGCCCAAAAGCAACTAAGGATACATCTGGAAAAATATACTTGCTGTATTAAAACTAAGTAAGTTCCTCAGTAAGAATTTAAAAAATCAAAACAAAACATAAGGGTTGGGGATCTAGCTTAGTAGACGAGTGTACAAGGCCGAGTTAAATCTCCAGCTCTGCAAAAACAAGCAACGAAACCAAACAAACAAAAAGCTCACTCTACGTGGCAGTGACAAGCCACCACTCTTGTTGTTTTTCATTGTGTCTAGACTGTATCAAGAATGGGAAAAGGTTAGTGTTACAGTTTGGCTGGATGATATACTAAAAACAACAGGAGAGAAAAAGAACTACTCAACTTCTGCTTGGCTTCCATCTTTTCTCTCACGAGAATAATTTTTACACTAAAAGGATAAAAAAACTAATGAAAATGCAAAACAGGTGAAGAGACCTTAGATTTCCATCTCAAAGTAATGAATTGACTTTCTGAAATAAGAACTCTACTGGCAAATCCTGGTAGAAAAATGGGAAAGGCAGCACGGGTCAGGCCTGGTGATGTACAGCTATCTATAATCGCAGCTAGTCAGGAGGTAGAGACTGAGAGGACCACAGCTCAAGGCTGGGCTACGCAAACAGCTAGCAAGACTCCCATTTTGACAGATAAAATAGGGGCGGTGATCTTGTGCAGTAACTGCAAGACCACAGCTGGGACCACTGTTGTTCAAGGCCAGCCTGGCAAAACTTAGTGAGACCTCATCTTAACACAGAAGCTGGGTATGGTAGCTGACACCTGTGACTCAGCTATGCAGGAGGCATATTAAGGAGGATCACGGTCTGAGGCCCAGTCAAAAACATGAGACCTGACTTGAGGTCAGGGGTGCTCACACTCCCCAGTCCTTTTTGCTTAAGTTATTTATTTATTTTGCCTGGGCTGGCCTTGAACCTCAATCCTCCTGATCTTTGCCTCCTGAGTAGTTAGGATTATAGGCATGGACCATCAGGCCTGCTTTATTGAACAGTTTTGTCTACAACAGGAATAAAACATTTTACAGCTTACAGTAAATGGAGGGCTACTTATCTGGGTGATTACAGAAAGAAACTTGTAACTAGTTCACAGTGGATTTTCAAGAAGCATATGCTGGAATTACATTACATCTTTACAACAAAGCTTCAATCTCAGGGGACCTGAGACAGAAAACCTCTCCCAGAGATTAAAAGGGCATGAGACACTTGGCTTACCTAATGTGTACCTAAGGAACTGATTTTACTGTGTAATTTCATCACAAATAAGCTGTAGGGGAGTGTCCTAATAGTGCCAGGTGAGCACTTTTAACCAGCCTTCATTGTATTTTAACACTGAGTAACTTACTCAAAGTACTCAGCTAATAAGAGCCTAAAGTCAACCTAGATAGACTGCTTTAGAGTATGGCTCCTTAAACACAACTATACTGTATAGCCAAGGCCATCTCTACATCTGAAGTTCAAAATAATTTTTTAATGTCTAAAATTTTCCTGAGTTTGCTTTTAAGCAATGCCTGTTACTTTTTTAATTACATGAAAGAGCTTTATAAGCTTGTCTAACAGATAACATCCTAACCGAATTACCAATACACATGAAAGGATAGTACTGGGGGTGTTATTTGGAATTAAGAAAATTAAGCAGAATGTTATGGCAAATGCATAGAAATATTCTCAAAAACCCATAACACTATTCATTTTCAGATGAACTAATCTTATTGTTAAATGGCTCGTACTCTGAACCTAGATAATATTCCTCAAGTACTTGATTATTCTTCAGTTGACTACAGAAAAGAAATGGAAAATGAATAGAATCAGAATCAGAAATTATTACCTGAATAGAATGAACCCAAGTGATTCTACTGCTGCCCTCCTGACATCATCATTAACATCACTTACCTAGGAGGAAAAGTTTAAGATGATTATACTAGACTATTAATTGTATTACTAGACTACACAGGTATGAGGCCTGCATCATTCAAGTGCAAACTAGACATTATTAACATTCCTTCAGTATGTCTTCTCCTCACTATGTATAGCTAACATCATGTTGCATTCCTTAAATATATACAATAAATTTTAAAAATAAAGACATATTTTTTAAAAAAGGATTTCCCAATTTAGGGGGAAAAAATCATAGAATTTAAAGGCTTACAAGCCTTTACAGCTTTATCAAGTTTAAGATTCAGGGAAACTTTTTTTTTTGTTTTGCAGTACTGGGGTTTGAACTCAGGGCCTCATGCTTGCTAGGCAGGTGCTCTACCACTTGAGCCACTCTGCCAGCCCTCAGGGCAACTTCTTAAGATTATTTTAGGCTATTTTACAGCTTCTATGTTATAATGAAAATTAACTATTCCTTCAATGTTGTTTTAAAAAAAAATATGTCCTATGCTCAAATAAAATAAGAGTATTTAGAGCATAACACATACTATGCTGTTAAAGTTTAAGTTACTAATATTGTGGGATATGAGTATCTCTGGAAAGAGGGAATTAAACCTTTCTACATGGGAAGATAATCTTGGGTTTACCTTTTCCCAGCACCATGATAATAGAAATCCACAAAGTTAAGATATACATGGAATAGTCACTGTGTGACCAGGCAATATTATTTATTATTGATAACCTACAACCAAATTGAGAGGACTATAGAAAAGCCTGTTGTGAAACACGGACAATGGCTTCCCTGTGCAGTGTCTTAAGAAGTGGTATCTTGTCTTTAGATTTCCCTGTCCTAGGATGATGGAACATTTTCACATGGTCTTGTTTTGTATAAATGAGGGTGCCCCTTGGAGTAGGGTTTTGGAAATTACACTTGAATGGCTTTAAAGACTTCTGGTCAGATTGACATACTATTTATTACTTGTCCTATTTCCTTTTAAAAACCTAGGTGAACCTAATGTTGGGTTGTGGCTCACTATGTCTAGTGAATGAGAATCTGAACTTGAGATTACGGATGGTGGTCATGTGGTATGTGAGCTGCAGTCACCCAGACACTGTCCATCTGCAAACTTTCTCTTCTACTTCATTGCCTAGAAAGGTCACAGCACTTACAGCAACATGTAGCAGGCGTCGAATAGCTTTGTTGTTACCAGAGCCACAATAAGCCATCGCTACAGTATACATTCCAGACCTTCGAAGAATTGGATCCTAGGAAAGAATAATTCAACATTAATCTTTAACTTATTTCGAATAGTAACTGCTAGTGGGCATGATGAATCAAGCCTACAGCCCCAGCTATTTGAGAGGCTGATGCAGGAAGATCACTTGAGTCTAGGAGTTAAGAGGCCAGTCTGAGAAGCACCGTAAGACCCCTTTCAAAAACAAACAGGGCTGGTGGTATGGCTCAAGCAGTAGAGAACCTGCCTAACAAGTCCTGAGTTCAAACTCCAGTACTACCACCATCAAAAAAAAAAAAAAAAAAGAAAAAAGAAAGAAAACAACAAAAACAGTAATGACTACAATTTAACAGGCTTAGTGGCATTTACTAGGTTAAACTGGTTTTATGTAGGAAACCATGAATTCAAGAGAATTCTTCTGTGGTTGGTAGTTTTCTAAATGAATGGGGAAAGTAAATCTAATACAGGAGGAATTGTTCTTAATTTTCAATATTCTGTGCAGTATGTCTAACCTGCATTATACTAGCTAAGAAGCATAAACTCAAGTTAATTGTAAGACAGCTGTATGGTGGTCAATCTCCATTTATCAGACAAACAACAAAGAAGCTGGGTTCAAACTCCATACTCTAACTCATTTTTACGTTATCTAATTCCTGGGCATGGAGCAGTAAGTGAAAGAGAGATATGAAGTCTGATAGTTGAACAAATAAATTAGTACCTTTATCAATAGCAGTTCTTTTTTAATCAGAAAAGATAGTGGACAGTATTAACTTACTACTATCTATCACATGCAATACCAGTGTAAAAATAAAAGGCAACAGAAAAAAAACCTTACCCAGATAGAAACAGAGACTGTCACTATTTTCTGAACCATGAAAACATGTATCTTTTTAAAGTATCGTTTGTATCTTATTAAAGTATTATGAAATCATTCAAAAAAATCTTACTTCCAAAAGAAGTTAACTTGCAAATCCCTAAAAAACTTTTTTGGATCTGCTCATCTGAAAATCACTGATTTGGAGCCATGGCTAAATTCAAGATCCTCAAATTACTTCCATTCACTACTTCTAATCAGTGCTTTTCTTTCTTAAATTTTATTATAATTTATCTTCCTTGCAAGAAGTTTTATGAACAAATATACCTAGGTGTTCTGATGGGAACAGAGATAATTTCCAAGGAATATTAGTATTCTTTATATGCTGGCAAGAAGCAGAGAGTGCAGGATGCAGGTGAAAAGAAGATAAATGGGATCTCACCTTATCACGACAGAGAGATTCAATGAGAGCATCAGCCTCTTCCATCCTCCCATACATCACTAATGCAATGCCAACTGCAAGACCACGCAGAATCTTCTCATGTTGAGTTTCTTGTGCATAGCCAACCATGTCCTCAATAGCCTGGGCATTTTTAGAGCCCAACATAACCAAACCTAGAGCCAGGCCAGCTGCTTCTCCTAGAGAATAAAGAGTAAAACAATAATGAGGAAAAATTGTATTCATAAAGTCAATACAACACATCCAATTGAAAGTAGCACTTCTTTTCATCGATTATCAAAACAACCATTAGATTCTGATAGCATTTTTTCCAACCAACTGATAAAAAAGGAGATACTTTATTTTGAAGTACATCTATACATTTACAGCTGTTTTCCTTTTATTTTATTTTGGTAGTACTGGGGTTGAACTCATGGCCTCACACTTGCTTGGCAGGTACTATACCACCAGAGCCACATTCCCAGCTGTGTTTACCTTTTAAACCTTGACATTATGACAACATTTTTTCCACAATTTCACCAAGCACCATAGAATATCCTAAGGATACAAACAGATCACTCTAATAACTTCCTATTTGCAAAGTCAGTTCTATAAGGACTCATGAGGAATGTTATTTTAGAAAGCCTGTATATCACAAAACATGGCTTTATAAGATAAATTTGTCAAATGGGACAAAATCCATTCCCTCTTCAAGAAACGAAATCCAACAGATTTTTAAAAGGCTACCAAAAAAATAATTGTGTTAGTTAATACTAAATTTGGTTGTCTTTAAAAACAAATGCGTACCTGTCACTGCATCATCCTGGTAAAGGTTTGTTTTCAACAAATCATACACATCCTGGCGTGCGGTTCCCATGGCAGCCAAACCAAGGCCCAGACTGCCTCCATGTCGAACGATCTAGGGAAAAAGCATTGGCTCCATCAATCTGGTGCATGGTACTTAAAATACAGCTTTTATTCAAGCCTCAAAAAGTATTTTAATATTAAACATGTGGGAGCTGGCTCAGTGAGAATGACCAAAGGATCTAATAATCAGAAGCCTAATGGTAAAGTAACCTCAGCAACTTCGGTTTTCAACAGACTAATGCTTGCTGATGTAAATTAATAGTTAAGTTGGTAAGTGAAAGGGATGAAAGAAAATAGACAGAGATAATACAATTCTCTTTCAATAAAGTTACATAAGAAGGAGTGGAGACACACTGAGCAAGAACTAAGATGCAAGTGTTAGGGAAAAGGTTTTGGGGAGAATAGGTGAAATCTGAGCATTCTTAGGGGGAGAGGCAAAGAAGACAGTACAGAAGGAGAAGCTAAAGACAGAAGAAAAAGATATTTAACAGAACATGGTTGTGAAGAAAGTGGGAAAAAATGGGGTCAAAGCCAAAGCTGCTCTTCATTTGAAAAAGGAGACATTAGTGGTTATGCACTAATGGTTATGCCATTTTAAAATGCACAGTTTCCTTTTGTTGATGAAAACACTCCAACCTTGCCTTAGGAATAACCTCCTCCATTGGTTAGTGCTGGTGGAACTGTCATTTAAGAAGCTCCCACCCGAGTCGGGGGGAGGGGGTAGGGGCAGGGAGGAGAAATGACCCAGGCATTGTATGCACATATGAATAATAAAAAATAAAAATAAATAAATAAATAAATTATTCACAGCATGGCCTAAAAAAAAAGAATTCAAGGCCAGCCTGGGCTACATAAGGAGACTCTCTCAAAAAATCCAAAAAGAAAATGAAAAAAAGAAATGTGCAAAACTGCTCTCCATAAAAGTAGCCATTTATATTCCCAATGGTGCTTACTTCCCTGCCCCCTCACCAGTATTCATAAAAATCTGTTAGTCTGATAAATAAAAAATGGTTTCTTGCTTTAAAAAAAAAAAAAGAAGTTCCCACCTTGCCCTAGGCAACATGTGGGCCTTGATCCAAGGCAGACCAATGGGACCTTCATTCTCTGGAATTTTAACCTTTCCCAAGTACAAAAATGTTTCAAATTCATTCATCCTGACATCAGGGCCCCAAAGTAACTACTCCATTAACTCCTATTAGACAGATTCCTAGAGTTCCTGGCTCCTTATGGAAAGCTGGCTCATCAGTTTTTCCATTAATTATATAAGCTTCTTCAATAAACTCCTTATTTAAGTTAGCCAGAAAAGGTTTCTACTACTGTCTCTTGCTGTTCTTTGTAACCATGAACCCTATCTGAAAGGAAATGATGTAAAGACATAGGTACACCCAGAAATGATTTGTGGATGAGGGGCTTATTAGCCGAGACAAACCATCCTATGGGCTGACTCTTTTCACTAAAATTGAGGATAAGGTGTTCTGGTTCACTTAACCAATCTCCTCAGTCTTCTAGAAGAGTCCACTTAAATGTAAAAGCTAAAAATCTAAAGACCTATTTCAGGATTCCTTAAAATAACAGAACTGCTTAATTTTTTTTCCAAAAAAATGAAATTACATTTTAAAATATTATCAATGGGGCTGGTGAAGTGATTCAAGTGGTAGAGCACCTGTCTAGCAAGCACAAGGCCCTGAGTTCAAACCACAGTGCTGAAAAAAAGAAATCAATGTTTGGTAATAAGGATTCTTTTTTCTTTCTTTATGTGACATTTACTTATAACAAAGTTTCATTCTTCATCCAGCTCCTAAATGCTTACAAAGTAGCACCACCATGTCAATATATTGAATAGTCTTGTAGAAACATGTTGGCACTTAATGCAAGTTAAGTAATCAAAATTATGGGAAAAAATTTTGATAAACATGATCTCATATTTGAAATCTGTTGAGAAAGTTAAAAAAAAAAATCCAGTTTTCAAAACAAGCAAGAATTCTCATTTCTGAGAGAGTATGTGCAAAATGGGGGAAGGCTTAGTTTCCTTTAAAATGACCTGGATAGAAGTGTGAGAACCAACTTACATTTTACAAATACCTGGTACTTTTGCTTGTCACAAAAAGGGTTTTAAAAAACTCAGAAGCACAATTTTAACTTATCAAAAAAAAAAGGAAATTACCTTAAAAACAAAACAAAACATAAACAGGTTGTGATGGTGGCACATGCCTGTAACTCCAGCACTCAAGAGGCTGAGGCAGGAGGATTGCGAGTTCAAAGCCAACTTCAGGCTACATATTGAAGCTCTGACTCAAAAAAAAAAAAAACCCCAAAACTATTTTTTATGGGAATAGTATAGTGTTGAGTATTCCCAAATCAATAATTTGCTGAATATAATTTCCTAGAATCTTAAGCAATGGAAGTTTAATACTTTAATACTTATAACATTCCACTTAATACTTACATCATTGCTGGCATTCTTGAGCTGATTAAGCAGATAGTCAATTATGTCACCACCATGATTGGCATGAATGAGACCCAATGCATAAAGACCTCCACCTTCCTGATAGGCTGATCCTGGAGAAGTGTCTTTGGGAAGGTATGTTGCCATTAACTGTAATGCTTCCTTCTCGTGACCCTATAAATTTGAGTCACAAAGCTATCACTAAAGAAAGGGATAGGAAAACACATACAATATATTCTGGGATTCTTGCCTTTCCCCCACAATGTTCACTTGCTGAAGGAGAAGGGGTTAGCAAAGCAAGCTGTCTCTCATAAACTTTATCTCTCAAATGAGAACAACCTTTGTGAGATGCAGTCACACCATGGTCAGAAAGCAATGTGAATGCTGCAATTTTTTTGTTTTATAACATTTTCCCAAATTCATCTTAGACTACACAAATAACATTTCAATTCATCCTTTGCAAAATGGCTTATGCAGTCTTCATAGAAAAAAGATTTCTACCTTTTATTTAAAAGAAACAAAAACATATTTTAGTATCTTACCTACTTCATCCTTACCTGTAAAATTACTGATTTGGCTTAACAAAATATACCTGACAATCAATGAATTATAGTAAGATTTCTTTTCTTAACCCCCCAAATTGCTCCTGTTCTGACACCTATTCACACTGAACAACATACGTTACCTTATGAATTACACCCAAACTGGCTGTAGCAGTAAATTTTGCCCAGTTAGTGGCTCTGGCCAACCATTCCAAGTTATCTCTGTAAGAATACAAAACTTAGCATTACTGCTAATTCTAGGGGTTTTGTTTAATTTAGTTTGGTTTTTTTTTTTTTTTTTTTTGCAGTACTAAGGTTTGAACTAAGGGCTTCACACCCTGCTAAGGCAGGTGCTCTACCACTTGAGCCATGCCCTCAGCCCAGGTTTATTTTTGGAGGCAGAGTTTCACTACATACCCTAGGCTGATCCTGAATTCTTGATCCTCCTGCCTAAGCCTCCCAGGTTCTGGGTTTATAGGCATATGCCACCATACCCAGGCTCTAAGTTCTTCTTAATATTTTGAGGGTCTTAAAAAATTTGATATATAATTCTACTATGAATAAAAGTAAAATTATATTAAGCTTTCAAATAATATATCTCCTTCAAAAGCTTGTTATCAAGTCAATAAAGGGAACTAATTTTATCTTAAAATATGTAAACACATGAAATAAGATATATGTTTATAGTACATTATGCATATATATGTAAAATAGAAAATAATTAATTTAGAATTTAGGACTGGTTGGCAAGAAAGCTTAATGTCAACATAGTTTCAGCTAAAGACAATTTCAAACCCAAGTGGCATTCTCCAAGCATATTTACCTAAGAAACTGGTCGCTGGTAGTTCCACAGTGCATAAAAGAGTTTGCTATAACAGTTGCTGTGTGACATACAGAATTTCGTACTGCATCCTACAAAAACAAATAGAGATTTCTTCTTTTTTATCACTGGCAAAGTATTTATACATAAACAAGCTCATACACACACTCAGAAGCTCTATTTATTTGAAGGTAAAAACAGGAACAAATTGAACTGAGATTTAAAATATGGACCTTGGGCATTTCTTTATAAAAACTAAATAGCTAGTTTATAAAAATAAGAAAGTAAATACAGTTTTATTTGCAGCCTTAATGTGAGGTTAACAGCAGATTTTCTATTCCTTGGTTTGAGAATAAATCAAATTTCTATTTCTGTTGAGCATCTTGCCTAAATTCTCCAAGGTGTTGGGGCAATGTAAGGAGTGGTGCTATAAATCTTCTAGCCTGCACCTCTAGCAGTCTCTAAAGTTACTTTATTTTTAGTAAAATTACATTAAAAAGACTACCTTCAAATAAATGCCATAAATGCAAATTACATTATTCTGTATCTTTTTGTCATTTGTAAAACTTGTAAAAAAAAGAAAAAGGTTTTAAAATGCACTATTACAAATGCTTCAATAAAATAAGTGCTGAAACATTGGTTATAAAAAAAAAGTATATGGTAATAATAAAAACAGAATAAATGTCTTTGGAAAGCGAGAGTGGTTAAATAAAGGAGAAGGGGAAAGATTTCCTTATGCTATATATCTTTTTATATAATAACATTTTAAATCAAATGCATACATTAAAAATTCAAAAATTAAAAATAATTGTTGAAAATGTCATAAAGAAACCTTAAAAATGTACAAATAAAATATTGTTAGGATTAGTGTCTCAGCAAAGTTGTAACAAGGTAGGAATTTCTACTTTCAAGAAGCAAATGGTCAGTGGGAAACACACATAAACTATGTAAGTATCCTGACTGTGCTATTAAGTCTATTACATGTGCACGTTCATTAAGATAAAAATGGTTTTTAAATGAAAACAAAAATTCACTTGTCTCTGTTAGACTAGCACAAAAACATGAGCTCAATTATTGCTGATTACCTTCCCTTTCCAGTAAGTAAAAGAATCTCAACTACCCACTGATTTTGCTGTTGTTGCTGGGGTGAGCCCAGCGCCTCATTTAAACATGCTGAGTAAGAGCACTCCAAGCCCCACTCATTGTTTAATTTTACAAAAACTTAAATGCTGATTTCCTTGATTAGGTATAAAATACAACAAAGCATTCGATAAGAGAAAAATACCATCTATTATGCATTTCCCACCTTTGTGTTTTTTAGAATCATGAGGTCTGTATTATTATTTCGTATTAGGAACTGCAGATGTAACTCAATAGCCATTTCACCGCTTAAAATTTTAATCATTTTCAAAGTCTGGTCCTTGGGTTCTGGACTCTGCCAAAACAAGAATGAAAATTCATATATTAGTGAAATTCACAAAGCCAACTTTATTTCATCAGCCCTAAACCAATGAAATTAAAGTCTAAACACACACTCACTCATATTTTAATGGTAGGATATAGAAAATTCAATTGTCACTATTTGAAAGAAAGAAAATTTTATTTTCATATTAGATGCCACTGAGATATGTTACTAGTTCGATGAAGGAATGCAATTCACTCAAAGCTACCTCTCAAGGTAAAATAGTTTAATATTAAAAAAAAAAAAAGTGGGAGGGATTTAGCTCAGGGGTAGAGAACTTGCCTAGCAAGCTTGAGGCCTAGTTCTCAGCAAAGAAAGAAAAGGAATAAGAGGATGAATGGGAGGAAGGAAAGAAGGAAGGGAAGGAAGGGGAGGGAGGAAAGAAGGAAGGGAGAGAGGGAGGGAGGGAAAAAGAATGAAAGAGAGAGAGAGAAAAAGAAAGGAAAAAAAGGAGGGAGGGTGGGAGGGAGCCAGTCAGCCAGCCAGCCAGCCTCAAATAAGAGGAGCACAGTTCAGGCTAGCCTGGGCAAAAAGGGTCAGAGGCATGGCTCAAGCAGTAGAGTGCTTGCTGTGCAAATGAGAAGCCTTGAGTTCAAACCGATATACCATGCGAATAGAATAAATGTCAAATAGCAGCCTCAACTTCAAGAGGTGTACTCACCACATCGGGGGTTTTTCCTACCAGTGCATTGCCTGTCTTATCTTCTGTTTCCATTGAGTCACTAAAATGAAGAGAACCAACAACTAGTAATTTGATAAATCTTTTCTAAATAGAATATGCAGGTAATTTGTTTATACCATAGATCAGAAGCATGTCCAAATTAAACATTTTATAAGAAAATAACATTTACTTTGAGCATCATTGATGAGAAATAAGAAAAGATTCTAGGTATCTCTAAGATGGAGGAACCCAGCTACTCAATTTTCTCCAAATAAATTCATTAAAAAAACCCACAAAAAGCAGTACAGTCAGAAAAATTCCTGAACAATAAATACAACAAAAAATAGGGAACAAAGTATCTTTCCTCATTTCCAAATCAGTCAGGTGGACATGAACTACCAATAGCTACAAAACCAACTTGAAGTAAAGCACTTGGGACCCCAATAACTATTAAAACTAAATAGTCATTACCTCTTCCTAGGTCAAAGAATAAAACTGTCAGCAGAGCATGGTGGCTTAAGTCTGTAATCCTAGCTACTCAGGAAGAGATCAAGAGGATTGTGGTTCAAGGTCAGCCTGGGCAAAAAATTCACAGATGAGAAAGCATGAACTGAAAACTTATCTCAAAAGTTCCCACTATGAAAAAGGGCTGGTAGAGTAGCTCAAGTGGAAGAGCACCTGCCTAGCAAGTTTGAACTTGATGTCCCAAGTTCAAACCCTAGTATGGAAAAGAAAAAATAATAATATTGAGGAGAAAATGCTGGGAGGAGAAAAAGAAACAAGCCATGGTTGTTTAACTCTTCATAAACACAGCAGAAGAGAAGTTTTAGAGAGCAGAAGTTACAAAAACTGCCCTAAACAAATCTCCCTTATAAAAGTTTCAGAAAACTAATTCAGTAAAAATAAGCCACAGGAATAAAGGAAAATCCTATACAAAATTTTATGGAAAAAAAAAAGCTTCAAAATAAGTAATAGGCATTAAGAAAATTATACAAGATTAAAAAGAAAATTAGAATTAGGAAAGCCAGAAATTAAAATGGAACTAGTAAAAATCAGAAAGAGAAAAAAATTATCATTTCAGATATGAAGATTAACTTAGAAAGAACAGGACAGCAAATAACAACACATAATGCCTTAAAAAAAAGAAGGCAAGAAGAAAAGTTTTCAATAAAAAAGAAATAAACCAGTCAGGTGTGGTGGCTCATGCCTATAAACCTGGCTACTCAGAGGAGTTGGAAATCAGGAAGATCAAGGTTCAAGGCCAGCCAGGGCAAAAATTTCACTAGATCTCATCTTATCCAATAAAAATCTGGGCATGCTGGCATGCACCTATCATCCCAGGTACACAGAATCAAGGTTCAGGCTGGCCCAGGGATTAAAACAAGACCTTATTCAAAAAATAACTAAAGCAGAGATGCTGGGGGGCATAGCTCAAGTGGTAGAGTGCTTGCCTACTAAGTATGAGGAGCTAGGTTCAATTCCTAGTACTCCCCTCAAGAAAAACCTAAAGCAGAAAGGTGCTGGGGAGTTGGCTCAAGTGCAGAAAAACCAGGTGGGAGTAAGGTTTAAAGATTAGATTGGGAGAAGTAAAGTGGCTCTATTTGCAGCTGACATGACTCTTATATAGAAAATTCTGCAAATGGTCCTATTTCTTAAAATTTTCTAAAGCTGAAGAGTGATTTTACAAGATTCAATGTTAATATACTAAAATCACTTGTATTTCCACATAGTAGCAACAACAACAAAAAAACTAGAAATGGAAATTTAAAAATACCCCTTACAACAGCATCAAAGAGCATAATATATTCAAGAATACAAGGAATTTAAGTAAAGATATACAAGATCTTTGCACTGATACCTACAAAATGCTGCTGAGAAAATTAAAGAAAACCTAAATAAATGAGGATGAGTGCCATGTTCATGGATTCCAGGCTCAGCACTGTCAGGATTTCAATGTGCTCCAAATTTGAGAGACTCAACCTGAATCCAAATGGAATTACCAGAGACTCAGAAATGTGAAAGAACTACAATACCCACAGCAATCTTGAAAAAAAATTATAACTGTAGGTCTGAGGGCTGGGAATGTAGATCAGTGGTAGAGTGTTTGCCTAGAATGCATGGCATTCCCAGCATGGGGAAAAAAGTCTTATAACATGATTTTTTTTTTTTTTTGACAGCACTGAGGTTTGAACTTAGGACCTCACGCTTACTAAGCAGGCACTCTTTCCACTTGGGCCACTCCACCAGGCCTTTTGTGATGGGTTTTCACGAACTAAATAGGCAGTCCAGGCTGGCTTTGAACCATGATCCTCTTGATCTCTTCCTCCTGAGTAGCTAAGATTACAGGTGTGAGCCACTGGTGCCCGGCCCATTATCTGATTTCAAGATTTGCCATAATCTTTATTAATAAAGTAAGTAGTACTGATATAAGGAAAGAAAAATAGATCAATACAAAGAACAACAACAAAAATCTAACAACACATATACATTGTACACTGACTTGCGTCAAAGATTCCAAGGCAATACAACAGGGAAAGGATAGTCTTTTAAACAAATGGTGATGGAACAATTAGATATTTATATGGAAAAAAAATACATAAATCATGTATTCTACCTCATACCATATACAAGATCTAAATATAAAACCTAATGTTATATACTTTCTAAAAGAAAGCACAGCAGTATTTATCTGCAACCATTTGAGTCTAGCAAAGAACTCTTAAATGGGATTCCAAAATGGAAAAATGGACCCCCAAAATAAAAATTTCTGCAAAGCATTGTGGCATACACCTGTAATCCCAGCGCTTCAGAGGCTGAGGAAGAAGGATGGTAAGTTTGAGGCAGCCTGAGCTAACTAGTATGGCCATGTCTCAAAACACAAAAATTAAAAAACAAACAAGCAAGCAAAAGAAAAAGAAAACAAGCCAAAAACTGGGAGAATATTCATGACACATTTGTCTTAACAAGTGATTTCTATTAAAATCACAAAGAAACAACGAACTGAAGGAGTAATATTTAAAAGATCAGTAGCACTAATAGCAAAGATGCAGAACGACTGGAATGCTCAGACACTGCAGATGGGAAGGTAAAATGGTACAGCCACACTGGAAAAGTTTGGCAGTTTCTTACTAAGTTAAACACATACCCTATTATTTTGCTATTCCACTCCCAGGTATATACCTGAGAGAAATCAAAGCATCTGTCCACAAAGAAACCTTATAAAGAATGTTCTCAACAGCTTTGTTCATAACAGCTAAACAACCAGAAATGACCCTAAGGTCCATCAGAAGAATGGATAAACTATGGTATACTCATACAATGAAATTCTACTCAGTGAAAAAGAATCAGTTACTAATTCATCCCAAAACTTAGCTCACAAACATTATGTTGAGTGAAAAAAGCCAGAAACAAAGGAATACATGCTACATGATCCCATTTTTATGACTTTTAATAATTGATAAAACTAATCTTCAGTGATAGAAATCAAAACAATAATATCCTTGGGGACAGTGGATTAAGTTCAAAGGGCACAAAGTTCCCAGGATGGTAGAGAAGTGTTGGTTACATGGGTGTTTATAATGTCAAATTACACTGAACTTATTAAGATATGTGCATCTTACTGTATTTAAATTATCAGTCAATTAAAAGAAAAAAAATTGAAACAGAAACCAAGTCAAAAGACAGAAATTGAGCTGATAGAGATATCAGACATCCTGTAACAGGAGCCCCCCCCCCAAAAGAAGAATAAAAATAAAGGGAAAAAATAATAAAAACTGAAACTCAAAGCCTTACTGAGGTTGAAATATTTTTGGTGTCTTTGAGGACCAGCAAGAAGCACTGTGAGTTTTAAGGCAGTCAGTGAAGAAGAAAGAGAAGAAGTAAAGCACACAGAGACCAGATCAGGTACAGTAGTCTCATTATCCACAGGGTACTGGTTCCGAACCTATGGAGACATCAAATCTGTGGATTCTCAGACCCTTATATAAATGGCATAGTCACTGTATATAACTAAGTTACATCCTCCTCCAGTATACTTTAAATCATCTTTAGACTACTTATACTTAATTACTTATTACTGAATATAATGTAAATGCTATGCAAATAGCTGCTACACTGTATTGTCTAGGGAATGACAAAAAAGAAAAGTCTATATGTATCTAGTACAGATGTAACTATTTTTCCCCAAATATTTTCAATTCACAGTTGGCTCAATCCATAGATGCAGAACCTGTGGCTACAGAGGGACTACTAAATAGACTTCCAGGACATTTTTAGGACTTAGAACTTTGTTTGAAGGTATTATAGTTAAGAGGAAAAGTGACATCTTATTTAGCTTTCCATTCTTTTCAGAAGAATGACGCTTGCTGCTGTGTGGACAACTCTGGAAGGAAAATAAGCAGGTATAAATAAGACATAAGCATTTTCGATGGTGGTCTAAATGTATAAGGAAATAAAGAAAAATAAAACTGAATATTGTATTATGATAAGAACATAAGTAAGATATTTATGTTCTTAGTTTTAATAGAAGCACAAAAAGGAAAATGCTTCTTACTTTCCAAATACCTAGCCCAGATCCAGCTAACAGTTAGCTCACCTACCCCACCTAAAATTTTTAATATATTGGATTAAGTACTACACATGCTATCTACCAAGCATTTTCTATCAGATAATCCCTTCTTTATTTCCTAGAAGGGTCCATTTCTTTGGTTTTCCTTCCTGTGCCTAGCTTAGTAGAAAACAGACCAAAATGTAAGGCATAAAACCTTACAATCTATAAGAGCTAATGGTTAAATTTATTTATTTCTAGAATGTGCTATCCAAATTAACATACCTATTCCCAAAATGAAATAAAGATTGTTCAGTTAATTCTGATTCAGAAAAAGATACTGATACCTGTCTTTCTCTGATCCTGGAACAGTACCCGTATTGGTGGATCCAGGCACAGAAGCAATAGGAGTCCCAACAGTTCGAAGATTCTGGATTACAGATGACAAAAATTGCTGGCTAGCACTTTCATATAAATCAAAACAAATCTGATAAGCCATCAGAAGGTTGTCTTCCTTCACCAGTTTTTCTAAGATATCACTCACGGCCTGAGGATCATCTAAGAAAATTAAGCACTGAAATGGAAATAAAGAACAAGCACACAATAACTAAAACCTTTATCTGCAAGGTACTTAGAACATGACAAACAGCCCACAATACAGGACACCTTAAAACACAGGCAAAGAGAAGGAGACTATTTAAACTGCAATCCTTTGTATTTGTATACAAATAGATTGTATAGCAATCTATTTCTGAAACCAATACCAGGTGAAATTTTCCTGAAAATAGCATCTGCTTTCCACAAAAAAAATTTTTTAAAATCCATACTAATTATATACACAGGTCCTACAATTGTGCCTTGTAATTAGCAGTATTGAATACTACTTGCTGAATGAATCCTCCCTTTTTTAAGGGAAGCCTTATCCATAATTCATACCCAAATATTCCTTGCCTTGTATTTCTGTATTACATACATTGTAGGACTCATTCATTCATTGAAAATAAGTTGCATTTTAAATATGTTGTATTTTCAATATGTTGCTGGGCCAGGACAAGTGAGATCAACATTACCATTTTGAAGCATTTTTCTTCCTACTCTTATAAATCTGCCATGTGTCTTAATACAATTATCCTCTCATAAAGTTATGATTTTTCTTTTAAGAACTAAATTTAAGTTTTCTTGTTTCCTTAAGTAACAAGTAACTCAACTTCAAGATAAACATATAATCAAAGTTATTACAAATTAAGAATGAGAAAAAATGGAAATAAAGTAAGTGACCAGTAATAGGGGAATGCTTAAGTAAGGCACTGGCAGAGTAGCTCAAGTGGTAGAGTGCCTGCCTAGCAAGTGTGAGACCCTGAATTTGAACTCCAGTACCAACAACAATAAAAAAATACAAAGTAAGGCAAAGTACATACACTGAATAATCAATCAAGAAAAAGTTCAACAAGAGTCTGTGAGGAGTTAGAACAAGGAAAAATGTTAAGCTGAAGACTGTATGGATACTGCTTGCCTCCATAGCTTAAGAAAAGGAAAAGGAAGACTTTTCCCCGTACAGTCTATGGTCCTTTTTGATTTTTAAATTATGTGAATGTGTTGCCTATATTTTTTAAAAGGTCCATTTTTAAAATATATGATAAAATTTTAAAAAGTTATACAAGGAAAACAAAAGAAATGAAATTGCTGCTAGACACAGGTGGTTCACTTGTATAATCCTAGCTACTCAGGAGGCAGAGATCAGAAGGATTGTGGTTCAAAGCCAACCCAGGCAAATAGTTCTCAAGACCCTAATCTTGAAAGTGCCCATCACAAAAAAAAGAGCTGGTGGAGTGGCTCAAGGTGTCGGTCCTGAGTTCAAGTCCCAGTACCCTCCCCCACCACAAAAACCCAAAAAGAAAAATCAGAATGAACTGAAACTCTGAAACACAGAGAAGAAAAGGGCAAGAGGGCTAAGAGTGTGGTTCAACTACAGGTTTTCAAAAAAATTATTTTAAAACTACTAAAAATCATTTCAAAACAAAACTACAAAATCCTATATAAAGAAAGCTAAAAGGAAATACAAGGTTAAATCATAAATTGAGTGGGGGTGATACAGCCATTGAAAAGAATGCAATAGGTCTACATGTGCCAATAAGGTGGGAAAAACAGTTACTCATCTTTGGAGTGACCCAGGTGAAGGGAAAGGGAAAAACTGAAGTTTTTTTCTATACAAGCAAATCGTACATGAAGAGAGACAAAATATATCTAAATGATTTGGTTGTGTCTGAGTAATGAACCCATAGCTAATTTCTACCCTTCATAGTTCTTTTGAGAATAACACAGTATGGCGTAAGTACTGTTTGTATCATCTACCTTTTTTTTAAATCTTGTTTCCAAAAGTTCCTTAAATGCTTGGACTATTTTCAAAATGAAAAGAGAATACATATAAAGAATGTATTATAACAAGATAGATTTTTAGTGCTCTCAGATTCCATTTCTTTTGAATAAGAAAGAATATAAACCACATACCTTATTTTTCACAGCAATGGTTGAAGATCAACTGAGATACATGTATGAGGGTATTATAGTAAGGTAGACTAATAAAGCGCAATGTAACATGGAGTAATGTGGCATGGCACTCTATGGAATAATGTAATATAATACAATGTAATTACCTGACAAACATTGATGAAATCAGGTTTCTCCAAGTTCATGTATATTTTAACCAGAACTCTTAGTACTTTATTCCGAAACTGTTTATTCTGCATTAAAGACATGCAGAGCTTGAGGCTATACGCTAGCATTCCTGGGACATCATTCTGAAAGAGATAATTTTAAAATACATCACTATCTAGTTACTGAAGTATTATACTTATTTAGAAACTTAAACATTTTAATCCACCTTCTTTAGTCATTCAGGGCAGCCAATGATTTCAACTCCTTAAACAATAAAAACCTAGGATCCAGCACAGTGGATGACACCTGTAATGACAACTACTCGGGAGGCAGAGATCGGGAGGTGGTCAAGGTCAGCCCAGGTATCAAGTTGGGAAGACGCCACCTCAACCAACAAGGTGGGATAACACCTGTTATCCCAGCTACAGGGAAGGCACAGGTAGGAAGACCCTGGTCTGAAGCTGCCCCCTTCCTCTCCCTCCCCTGCAGTAACTGGGGAAAAATAACCAAAACAAAAGCACTGGAAGCATGGTTCAATTGGTAGAGTGCTTGCCTAGTAAGCACAAATCCCTGAGTTCAAACCCCAGTAGCAAAAAAAAAAAAAACCCTGAAATTTTAAACCATTTTAGAGGGAAACTTTTTTTTTTTTTTTGCAGTGCTAGATATCAAACTTAGGTCCTTGCACATGCTAGGCAAGTACCCCACCAGTCTTTGTTGTTTGGAAAGTGTCCCAGGCTTGCTTTGAATTTGACACCCTCCTGCCTCCACCTCCTGAGAGCTGGGATTACAGATATGCACGACCACACCTGGCTTAGAGGGAAATCTTAAAAGAAGAATTATATATTTCTGTATCTTCATGAAAAAATGGATTGAAAAATGATTTACTATTTAGTGATATCCCAGAATCAGCACTAAATGAGTACACTAAACTGCATTCATATACAGAGTAATGCTGTTAATTATAAAAAAGTATGTTCAACTGTCCATACACTACATGGCCATGCTTTGCAATTGCATGTGTTGCAGACTTTCTGCCTCCACCTTGCTCCTAGGCTCCCTCCTAACTTTACTGCCTGTATTCACTGGAAGGCCAGGAAACAGAATGTGGTAGATTTCTCTCCAGTCTGAGAGACTCAACATGGAGTACTGTTACATCTGTCTGACTCTGGACGATGAGGAAACTCTTGAGCTACCCTGTGGTTCTTATAAGCACCCCTAACATTTGAGATACTATCCTATAAAAATCCTTGACATAAATAAGCAAACATACTGAAAAACTACAGGAGTGCATCTCAAAGGCAAGTCATGACTCACTAGTGTGCAATGAAATTAACTTTATGGGTATGACTGGCAATTTTTTTAAAAAAAAATATGCAATTTAAAGATATTGTTACATCACAAATAGTAAGAATTGCTTAGTCTGCTTCATTTTTTAAAAAAAAACACCTGTTACCCTTTTAGTGATTTATTTATTTATTTTACTGGTCCAATACACTGTCTGATTTGGGCAAGAACTTTGTTGGTCTTGTTTGCCACTGTGTCTCTAATGCGCAGAGCAGCATCTGACACCAAGTGAGCATTCAGAAGGTATCTGCTGGTGGTTGGGGATGTAGTTCTGTGGTGCTTGCCTAGCATATGCAAGGCCTGAGTTCCACCCACAGCACTATGGGGGAGAAAGCATTTGTTGAATGAATGAAGGCAAATATTTTAATTTCATTCACATGAAGACAGGAGAGGCTATGACTGCACAAAAATACAACTGAGAGTGAGACAAGAACCATTCTATAGCGTGGCCACTCATTCATTTACTCATTTAAACAAATCTTACTACTGCTGCTAAGTTACAACTTAGGATTTGAGAATACAGTGACAAAAATTGCACAAAGTCTGGTAGTTTCTGGTGGAAGACAGACATTAACTACCTAATAAAAAATTAATTATAAAAGATGAACACTATGAAAAAAACATAGGGTTCCATGAATTAACAACAGAGGTAGACCTAGGCTTTGCAGTAGGGGTTCAGAAGGGTATGGGTATTGTTAGAAAGCTCTGCTAGTAACTAATAGTTGAGCTGTGCTCTGATCATGCACAGGAATGAAGCAGGTGAAGAAAGGGTATTTTTAGCAAAGAAGGGGGGTAGGACAGGGAGATGAAAAAAGTCCAAAATGGCTAAAGTACAGAGAACTAACTCATGGAGGGAGAGGTGGTGAGGCAAAGGCGGCCTGCAGAACAATGTCTACTTGACTCAGCCTTACACCTTCCTGACCACTCTGGGTGGTGTTGTCTTAATTACTGGAATCTTAAATCTGGAACCTAGTTCATAGTTTTAACCATAATAAGTACATCATAATAGTAGTTTATAAATACACTCTTCTTAAAAGGGGCAGAGTAATTAGTACAACTTCCCCATGAAATACCTCAATGGAATAAAGAAATGTGGCAAGATAAAAGCAGATGGTCTATGAACACAAAATGCAGCCAAAGATCATACATAAATGTACAATTTTTGAAAAAAAAGAGCATCTTATTTTTTCTAAACTAGGTTTTCCTTTTACTACCCACTAGTTTTTCAGTTTGAACAATCTGCTTTGTGACCCCCATCAATCATCAATACACAGCTTTAAAATGGCAGCATCTACCTACCGACTCCAGTACGGTCTTCTCAAAGATGTCTAGTCTCCGAGTTTCCAAAGCAATGCCGACAGCCTGCTTATACTTGTGATCATCTAGACATCGCTGGAACATTTTATTCACGATGCCTTCCAATCTCTGGTCAATTTGTTTCTTTTCTCCTTCAGGCAAATCTGCATTCTCCACACACTGCTTGGTATAGTGATCAATGCATTTTGCTATGGAAAAATAAAATAACTGATTACCTTGTAAATTGGACTAAACTACCAAAAGGGACAATGTCTACATCTATAATTACATATACTTACAAGATAACCAAAAAACTTCAAAAAATGTTAGAATTTATATTTATTAAAACTATTCTTTTTATAATAGTGATAAGAAAGGACTACACACCAATTCCAGTAAGGCTTATCAGATACTGATGGCTCGCACGTGAATCCCAGCTTACTTGAGAGGCAGAGAACAAGAGGATTGTGGTTCAAGGCCAGTCTAGGCAAATAGTTCGTGAGAACACCCCAAAGCCCCATCTCCAAAATAACCAGAGCAAAATGGACTGGAGGTGTGGCTTAGTAGTAGACAGCTACTTTGCAAGTGCAATCCCACAAAAAAAAAAAAAATTTCTATCTTGTCACTCTATTTTTACCAAAATTACATTACTTTACTTGATTAAGCTGCTTGTTTATCCAAAACAGTTGGCTATAAACAGTTGCTGACTATTTTCCTTTCAAAAACCTAACACTGCCATTACTGAGGATACTTTAAAAGGCCTATTAGAGCAATTATCACATAGAAATGTTAGATTTCTTCACATTAAAGAAACTATTAGCATGTTAAAGTAAGGACTGTTTAAATCATCATAGTCTAACAGTGCCACAGGTTCAAAAGGCAATTCCAAAGATTGCCAGCAATTACTCTTCCAGCAATCGTAGCAAACCAGATGACATATTCACAGACTCATGTAAAGTAGGTGGAACCTATTTCCCCCAGGAAGGTGTCTGAAAATTCATGCAACAGTGTATGTGCTCAATCTGACTTGCCACATTTCACAATGATTTGGGTAGATGGGGAGAGCTGATTTGGGTTTGGGGAGAAACTACAATTTATTTGCAAGTTAGTTGCATTTCTTTGGAATCACACCTTAAGCTTAAAATGTACAACCAAAAAAGGGCATTTCCCCAAACCTTCTTCTACCTTTATAAGGAACATAAACAGTCACCCATGACACGTGACATATATGCTAGTTATTCTATAACTCATTGACTTGTCTCTCCCTCTTTCAAAGAAAAGAAAGGGGAGTAGGATGAAATTAATTAGTTCTAAACTACAACCCTAGAAAACAAATAATTTGAACCAGCATAGGAACTCTTGGCCCACTAGTTGGTCCATGTTCAATGAGTGTATATTTCAGGGGGAGCAGTGGATTTTTTTAAATTGGAATATGCCCCATTCAGAGTTCATAGAGGTAGAACCACAAAAATTCAGGTCCAATAAATAAAAACAAAGTAACAGTTATAGAACAGACATTAAGCAATCGTGGTTGTAGAAAATTTTCATCAGGTCCTAACGTGACTTTTCAACCAACTATAGAATTAGAACATTTAGGAAATTTTCCTTACATGATGTAAGTTTCAAGTAACATTCATATTCTCACTCACCAACTTTATATTACAACTATAGTGCAGGTTTATGTTGTAACTAAAGTCTAGAATCAAGTCTCATTCCTGGTGAAAGTCTTACCATACTTGGAGAAAATTTCCCAGTAAAATGTAGTGGATGTGGTATTTATGCAATTCATTAAGATTCTAGGAAGCCTTTCAATTCTACTCTGTATACCATGTCACAAGTCTCCCTGACACTTAAAACATTCCACCCTAGAAACTAGAAAGGCGAACCCTACTTCCACTCAAAGAAAAGCAAACATAACTGGTCTCTTTATCAACAATCACCTTTCATAAGCTAAGACAATACACAGTGTTTAGAGACAGGGAAAGCATCTACTATTTCAAAGTACTTTGGTAGCAATTCAAGCACTTGCAGATCACTGCTGGAAAAAATTATAAATATTCATCAAAAAATTCATCCAATAATAGAAAAGAGATAAGTAACCCCTCACTTTTAACTTAGTGTGAAGACAGTGCTCTGGTTTCAAATATGGTTTATTCTTTAAAACTATCTCTTCTTCCTAAAAGATTCACAGATTTAAAAAATAGCTTAAATGTGAACAAAGAACCCTAGTTAGAAGCCAGGCATGGTGAGACATGCTTATAATTCCAGCTACTTGGGAGACTGAGGTAGGAAGGCTAAGTTCAAAGACAGCCTGGGCAAAATAGCAACCCCTCTGCCATTCCTACCATGTCTCAAAAAACCAAAACAAAAAAATCCTACTTAGAACTTCAAGGACATTTAAAGGAACCTCTTTTTATACCAACATTTGCTAATTTCTAAAGAGAATACCAATTTTCTCCTTTTAAGGGTTCAGATGAATAATACAGATTTCCTTTTTTTTTTTGTTTGTGGTGGGACTGCAGTTTGAACTCAGGGCTTCATGCTTGCAAAGCAGGCACTATGCCACTTGAGCCATGCCTCCAATCTGTTTTTGCTCTGGTTATTTATTTATTTATTTATTTTTGTGGTACTGGGGTTTGAACTCAGGGCCTCACGCTTGCTAGGCAGGCACTCTATCACCTGACACTCTGCCAGCCCACCCTGGTTAATTTGGAGATGGGGTCTTGCAAGCTATTTGCCTGGGCTGGCCTCAAATCTAGATCCTCCCAATCTCAGCCTCGCAAGTAGCTAGGATTACAGGTGTGTGTCACCAGTGCCTGGCCTGCAGATCTCCTCTTAATCAACAATGCAAAATACCTGTACTATACATTCTTGACAGAAAACTATCACTCCAAGCTTGATGGTCATAAAGACATGTCTGAAGGGCATGCAGCACCTTCCTTCAACTACTAGATAAGACTTCTCAAGCACTTTTTTAAAGTTACAAGATCCTTATTTGAACAAAGAAAGCCTTATGTAGTCGCTTGAATTTACAACTTTGGTTGAAATACAAAACCCCAAAGCCTAGAGAATCCAAAGCCTTGCCTGTGAGTTACTCTCTGCAACAGTTTTGGTTCAGAATGTCCCCCAAAGGCCTATGTGTTAAGGCTTTCCCCCCTAGCTTGGTGCTCTTAGTTATGTAGAGGAATATTTAAGAGACAAGACCTAGTGGGAGGTTAAGTGACTAGGGTATACCCTTGGCACTACAGCAGGAGAACCTCAGACCATTCCTCTCTCCCCGTCTCCTTTGCTGTCTAGAATAAGGTGAGTGGTTTTGCACTACTGTGTACTCCCCACTATGATGTGCTTGCTGTCTCACAGCAGGTCTAAATGATCATGGACTAAGATCTCAAAAACTGTGAGTCAAAATAAACCCTTTCTCATTACAAGTTGATTATGTCAGGTATTTGTTATAGTGAAAAAAAAACTAACAATCCCCTCCTCTCACTTCAAAAATAAACAAATGAACTGAGTGTGATGGTGCATGCCTGGTGCCCTCAGGAGGCAGGAAGCTAGCATATTTTGGGGCCAGTCTGGGCTATATAGTGAGACAATACATTAAAAAAAAACCCAAAAAGAAACAACCATATAAATCGGTATCATTTCATTTCTGTTCATCATAATAATTTGATTTAATCATTGTACCAAACTGTCCCCTGAACTAGGGATAACCATAATCACTGAGATGGCTAGCACTCAGTTAGAGGTAAATTAAAAACTTAGCCTATATAAAGCTTATGAACTTCCAATTAAAATGAAATTTGAAGTCAGGCACCTGGCTCACACCTGTAATCCTAGCTATTCAGGAGGAAGAGATCAGGAGCATCGAGGTTTGAAGCCAGCCCAGGCAAATAGTTCGAGAGACCCTATCTCGAAAAAGCCCTTCACAAGAAAGGGCTAAAAGGGCTGGTGGAGTGGCTCAAGGTGTAGGCCCTGAGTTCAAACCCCAGTACTGCAAAAAAAAAAAGAAAGAAAGAAAAAAAATCTGTATATACGGGGACAAGAAGGCAACCACAAGATATACCCTTATCAGATGGAAGGTCATTACCTATAATAGTCTCCACATATTCTGAGTTATCATTAACATTGAAGAGGTCACCTGCTCCCAAAGCGTAATTCAGAGACTCCTCAAAAGCCCCCAGGTGATAAAATACTTTAGATGCCACCAAGGCTGCAAACTGCCGACTCCGGAAACCTTCATCTTCATACAAAACTTCTCTGAAAGAAATCAGGAAAGACAGGCCTTGTTTAAGCTGTGGTTTCCCTTAAAAATCCCAAATCTAGGGCAGGAGGCACAGCTCAAGCAGTAGAGTGACTGCCTAGGAAATGCAAAGCCCTGAATTCGAACTACAGCACCACCACACACGCACTCACTTTCACTATTTAGGCCACAATTTAGCAGTAAATTTCTAAATGAATCATTGAGACTCACATCTATAGACAATTAAAGCTGATCTACCTTATTTGAACGTGTAGAAATAAATGTTTCTTACATTTTGTCTACAGACTCAGAAATTTCTGCCCAGAAGTCATTGACAACTGCATTCAATTTGTGTAGTGCAAATTCCTGTAAAAGACAAAACCAAAATTCTGTTTTGAGATAGACTTACCACTTCCTTAACAATGTCCAACAAATCAATGTCCAAATTCTCAGTAACTGTCACTAAAACTTTTAATCTATGACAAACAGAAATTTACCGACTAGCTTACACTTCTTTTTCTTGGATTTATACATTCCTTTCTGTTTTCATAAACATACTGTCATTCCTTATGATAATAAACCTCTCCCTTCTTTGGAGGTATAGAAGGCCTCTAGGTTGCTAGTTTGTATGTATATGAATACATGTGTCTAGATCCACTTGAGTACATTCCAAATTTTTGTCAAATGAAAGTAACTTTAAATATGTGGTACAGAGGAAACAACTTTTTGTGCTTTCTGCAGATAAACTGAAGGGTGCCAGGAGTTAGGGTTCATACATGTAATCCCAGCTACGTGGGAGGAGGCTGAGACAGAAGAATTGCAGTTTGAGGCCAGCACAAGCAAAGGTAGCAAGACCCTGGCTCAAAAACAAAATAAAAAATAGAGGCTAAGCATGGTGATGCATGTCTAATCCCAGCTACTTCAGAAGAGATCAGGAGAATCACAGTTTGAAGCCAGCACAGGCAAAAATTAAGGAGACCCTGTTTCAACCAAAGTAGGTGTGGTGGTACACACCTGTGATCCCAGTTACACATAGGTAGGATCAAAGTTCAAGGCTGGCTCTGGGCAAAAATTTGAGACCCTATCTGAAAAACACTTAAAAGCAAAAAGGACTAGGGCATGGCTCAAGTGATAAAGTGCCTGCCTAGGAAGCACAAAGCCCTGAGTTCAAATCCCAGTACTGCCAAAAGTTTTTTTTTTTCAAACGGGGGGCGGGGGGAGGCCTAGAAATGTAGCTCAAATGGTAGAGCACTTGCCTAGCATGTGTGAGGCCCTGGGTTCAACTTCTAATACTGTAAGAAAGAAAAGAAAAGAGAATGGAGGGTATTCAAATGCTACTCTGAGGTTTCTTTGCCTTAGCTATGTCAAACTCAAGGAAAATCAATTACTGTTTCCAAAATACTGCCCTCTCTAGCTAGGTTCCAATGACTGGCTACAGACTATGTAGGATGGCTATTTTAAGTGAAAGAAAATGTACAGGTATCACAAATCCAAAATGTTTCATAGAATTCATTATAAGCTTAGTGAACTTTTCTTCAGCTCATACCTTAAGCTGTGGTTCTTCTTCATCCAGAAGAGAAATAATTCCAGCTATAAGACAAAAAAAATTATAAAACATGCTCAAATAGAAATTAACACGTGGTCAAAACACATGACCGTTAGATACTGGGTGTGATGGCACATGTCTATAATCTTACCACTTGGGAAACTAAGGCAGTAACATCCTGAGCTTGAGGCCAGCCTAGGCTACAAAGCAAGTTCTAGACCAGCTTGAGCTAGAACCTGTTTCAACACCCACCCCACTCCACCACCACCAAAAACCAAACAAACAAACGGGGAAAAATAAGTTCATTTTAGGGATGACTTCACTAAGAGATAAAACTGCAGAGGTTTGTATTTTGAAGCTGAAGAATTAACTATGTTATAAAACCCTCATGATATATAGTTATAGCTATCCCCCCATCCCCCTCCCTTTTGCCTAATTCAATGGTTTTCAAAGTATAGTCCCTAGGACAACAGTATTAGCATTATCTGGCAACCTGTTAAGAAATGCAAATTCTTGGTCTCCCCCCAGACCTTCTGAATCAGAAAATATGGGGTTGGGACCCAGTAATAAGGTCTCCCTGTGATTCTGTGCTCACTATATGTTTGAGAACCACTGACCTAATTTACTGAACAAAATGAGAAACTTTCCCATACAATTTTAGAATATAATTTATTCACACAAAATAAACCAATTATAAAATTGCTTAGGAATAAAAATATATTTAGTCATCCAACTCAACAGAGTAATAAAATTATTTCGAGGTTATCATTTTTTCCTCCTTTGGGATACTGGGGTTTGAACTCAGGGCCCCACACTTGCTGTACAGGTGCTCTACCACTTGAGCCCCTCCACCAGCCCTTTTATGTGTTGAGTGTTTTCAAGATAGGGTCTCACAGAACTATTTGCCTGGGCTAGCTTTGAACCATGATCCTCCTGATCTCTGTCTCCTGAGTAGCTAGGATTACAGCTGGGAGCTATAGGCACCTCCTTCATCATAAGTAACAAGGAAGAAGATTCACTAAATGATGAGCAATCTTACTCATCCTGAACTCCATTACCCAAGCTCATTGTTCCCTATATGGCTATCTGAAAGGTCTCAAAGTGTTCGCAGTAACACAGCACAGTAAAAGAAATAACTGACCTCTCTAAAAGAATGGACTTTGAAATACAGTCATGTCAAAGGGATTATGGGAAATTTTTTCTTTTTACCATAAAGGAAACCTCATACCCTCAAATGATTCCATATAGGTTTTTTGTATTGCTTTTTCCCACGTAGGTTTTAGGATCATTCTGGAACAGAGTTGAAACTGATTTGATTATCAAGGCAATTTTAGTTAGTAAATGTAGCCATTTCTAACTGGTAAGCTATTTGATTTGTCAAATAGTTTTAACAGATTTTAGGGAGACATAAATAAAAGAGTACAAAGTCTAGCAAGCAAAACTAGAGCACACCACCATCCCAAAAGCAAACTAAGAAAGAACTTGATACTCTATATTGGCAGGACATGTCCAGAATGGAGAGGCTGAACAGGAAGCATGGAGTAGACATAAATTAAAAATGTAATCATTTTAACCATTAAATGCCAATCGACTATTAAAACATTTCCATTCTTTAAAAACAATGTAATCAGTGGAAAAATGGCAAATTATTAATGTGGAATAGATGATAGACCAGAATGGTTTATGTGACCAGAACTGATCGTAAACAGAATACTTAATAGTAAAAATGCTGATTAACTATCACTAATCAACAGAGTATTTGAATAACTTTTACCAAAAGAGGAGATGGACTTTTATACTCTTCTGTTTAGTTTCACTTGAGATTAATTTGTTCCTCTGGCTGAGGAACACAACTAAATAAAATACTCTATACTTTCTATACTAACATCCCCATTTAAAGACAAAACGGAACTCCTCTTTGGATGGGTGGAGGAATGGGAAAGGCCTAAGAATGCTAAAATAAATAAATAAATAAAATTTTATGCCATAATAGGAGCTCTGTAGCTACTGTCTAAAATTGTTGTATCAACTTATAGCAATATTTGAATATTATTTATCAATATGGAGGTATGCTCCAGAAAACAGCACTTGGAAGTTGAAATGGTTGCCTCTGGGGATCAGGAAAAGAAGAAATTATTGTTTCACAGCTTTTGTCACACTAATCCTCTGTTGCTTTTATTATGTTAAATCCAACCCGTGCAATTTCACACATCTCTCCAATAAACAAGCACCTGTCTCTCCACTCCCTTTGCTAGTCAAACCTCTTGAAAAAAATTAACAGTACCCACTAGCCTCTTGTTCAGAACTGTTTTCAGTGACTAGCAAGTGCTTAATGAATAAATGAATTAAGTGACACATCAGAACCATGACCCTGGCCTGTTTAGCACCTGGGACAGATCTCAAGTCAGTATGAGCTAGACAGGAAACAAAGTGACAAAAAGTTTGGAGCAGAAGCTGACAAGTAATCAGACACAACTTAACAAATGATAATTACAAATACGTACTATATTATCACAGGATATCAGGGTAGGACCTCAGAAACCATTAGACCTACTACCATAAGGAGGTTTGAATTCTATTATATTCTCACCAAGTGCTCTTTCGGCCTCTACTTTAAAAACTCTACGGACTAACACTGATTTGATTGGTTGGCTTATTCTTCAGTCAAAGGATATTTAGAATTTCTGCCATGTGCTCAGCAGAGTTCTAAGAACTGTGGAAACAAATTCTACCAGGGAAAGATGAGCAAGTAAACAAACAAGGTAAATGTGATGGAGAGGTGGCAGCTTGAAAGGAGAGAGTCAGCATGTCTTAACAGAGTGGCCAGTGAAGACTGATGAGTAAGAACCTAGCAGACAACTTGAGAAAGAAAAGTGTAGAAAGGGAATAGAATGTACAAGGGTCCTTAAATAGGGGATAAATTGAACTAAAAGGCCCATGTGATTTCGGTGTAGTGAAGAAGAGAGCACTACAAGTCTGGATTTTACTCTAAACATTATGGAAACAGTGGGGAATTTTAGGTAAAGAAATACCATGCGATTAAAACTTTAAAATGAAAACTAGAAGAATGGACTACCAGAAGTATTGGGAGAAAAACCAAAATCTTAAAAAGTAACCTAGGCAAGAAGGGGGTTTTGGGCCAAGAAAGAAATGAAGTGGGTCCACTGTATTCATTTAAGCATCCAGAAAACTTCTGTGTTGGGTGAAGCCCACACCTTGAAGGTAGCCATATACTGGAGCCAGAGGTAGTGCATGGATCTGAAGTAGAATGAGGCCTACATTTACAGGAGGTAAGAAATTCAGTGTTTATCTTTAGGATGCACCAACTGGAAAAAGCTCTTCCTTTTACTGACCTAAAATTCATCTCTCCATCACTTGCATCCTGTGGTGACAAAAGTGTAACTCCAGGTACAGGTGGCAGCTATTCAGTAACTATGTCTCTTAGCACCTCCACCAATTTCCTTAACCAATCCTCACAAAAATGATTTGGCGCTCCCTACCATATAGCTTAAGTGTCTTCTGGTCACCAGTTTGTTTACAGCAAGATACCTGTGGGACGAGGGCAGAGTAAAGCGGACAGGAAAGGGAAATGTACGGGGTCAATAAAGAAAAGCGCCAAGGCCCTGGACAGCTACATCCAAATCAGGCTGTGGTGGGGCGCTTCAAAACCTCCACTTAAACCTTGATCTCCATTGCTGTCCCACTCCAAACGTCACTACCAGGATCTACGTGGTAACTGTAGACGCGTGAAACGCGCTCCCTAGGTCCATCACTTCTTTCTCAAATGCAGCCTGTTTACGGAGCACCTCACCTCAGAGAGAGAAGCTGGCTATCGGCATAATGCTGTCTTCGGGGTGCTGCCTTCAGCGAACAAAGTTCTCCGGGTGCCTAACTGAGTACTTTAAATCCAGATCTGACCCATCTCAAAACTAGTTTCGGATTTCACTCTAAGGAAAATGCATCTCGGATCCAGAGCACCTATGTAGGACAGTTAGGCTGCCCGGCCAGGGGGGCTGCCTTGTCACGGAGCCCACCACAGCCACCCTCGGGGAAGGGCTGGGGTCAAACGGCCTCACACGGCAAGAGCCAGAGAACAGAAGAAAGAAAGCCCCCTCGAGGTCCCGGGCCGGCCCAGGAAGCCCCTCGGGTCCGGGCGCGGGGGTGTGGCTGCGGAAAGATGCCGAGGCGGTGGACCCGGCTCCATTCCTCCAAGCTGCAGGGACCTGCAAGTGACCGGACCAGACTCGCAGCCCCCGACCCGGCGTGGGCCTTGGGCACCGAGGGGCCGCGCAGGCCGGCGCTCCGCCCGGAGGTGCCCAGTCACCGGCCCTGACTCAGCTAAAAGCCGGCGCGGCTGCGGCTCCTTCCGTGGGGCGCCGCTCCCGGCGGCACTCACCCGCTGAGGTGATCATGGCTGAGCCCCGCACTCGCCCGTCCGCTCGCTCGCTGTCCTCGCCGCGCCGAGTATCTGTCAGATCAGGGCCTCTTCGCTCCGCCGCACCTCCTGGCTCTCCCGGTGTGCGCTCAGTCAGTCGCCTGCTCAGGCCGCCGGCTCGCTTCTGGCCTAAGACCCCGCCCGCCCCAGGGCTGCCCGCCGCTCCGCCTGTCTCCAGGCGCGAATTCTCTACCCCTCTGGGTCTTCCGCGCCGCCGCCGACTCCCTCTTCCATGATAAACAGTACAAAAAGGTGCCATTGTTTCCCACAGGCCTCTTGGAGGTCAGCGCTTCTGCAGGCTGGGTACGCTGTTCTGCACCTGGCATCAGGCTTCAGAATGGCCATTCCTGCAAAAAGAGGACCCTATCATCACCCGCCATCGCGGAGAGAAAGGGTGTAAGGAAAGCGTGAGTAGCTGCCGCAGCGCCTCCTGCTGTGTTGGCAGTCTTACTGCATCAAGTCAAGATTGGGAGATGGGGGTGTGACAGAGTGTTTTCTTAGAAAAGTGACTTTCCAGGTTGAGGCAGAAGGATCTCGAGTGAAGCCAGCCTGAGCTACATGAGACCCTATCTTAAAAGAAAAAAGAAAGGAAAGTGATTTTCCAATTCTTTTTTCTCAGAGGTACTAGGGTTTGAACTCAGGGCCTCACATTTACTAGGCAGGTGCTCTACCACTTAAGTCACACCCCAGCCTGATTTTCCAATTTTTTTTTTCCGTACTGGGGCTTGAACTCAGAGCACTCCGCCAGCCCAAATTTTTGTGGTAGGGTTTTTCTAGTTTGAGTCTGGCGAACTGTTTGCCCAGGCTGGCTTCGAACTGCGATCTTCCTGATCTCTGCCTCCTGAGTGGCTGGGATTACAGGTGTGAGCCACCGCCCAGCTGATTTTCCAGTCTTTTAAAAAACAAAGTCTGTCTTTAAAAGAAACCTCACAGAGAAATGTTTTATTATCAAAATGAATCCATCAGTAATCCGTCCATTATAAAGTTGAACAAAGATTTTTTAAATTTACTTTTGGGATAGCTAATACTGTATACTTACATGTTTCAAAAAAATCCTAAGTATAAAAAGATATATAGTGGCGCTGGAGGTGTGGCTAGCAAGTATGAAGCCCTAACCCAGTACCACCAAAAAAAAAAAAAAAAGATATATAGTGAAAAGTCTGCCAAAAAGGAAAACAATATCACCAGCTCTTTCCTTCCACTTAGCCAGTGCCTCCCTCCCCTTCTAGCAATGGATTCCTGGTTTCTAATATATTTTCATGAATTTAAAAATGACAATTTTGACTGTCACTTGCAGTCTTATACCAGCTTTAATAGCCAGATTTACTTCAATATTCACTACTGAGAAAAATCTTGACAAAGATTAGTGGCAAGCTGTTTTTTAAGACACTAGCTCTGCATCATCAAGGTACTCTTTGGATAGCAATGATTGAACATTTCTGCAGCTACCTCAAAACAGTCTAACCCTGTGGCACAAGTCAGTGTTGTGTAGCTGCCAGTGAATTCAATATGACTGGTGACACAGTCAACTGTGAATTTTTTAAAAAATTGACTATTCATAAACTATGGTTGTTAAAAACATTACATATGGTTACTAAATACTTTTGAAAGTCACTGCCCAAGGAGGTGTTCCTAAAAGACAAGCAGATTGAGCCTCTACAGAGGGTCTTTCGTGAATCCCTCATATAAACATACTTGTGTGTCCCAAACCCCTAAAGGAGTCACAAACAAGTGCCAACAGGTAATGGAGATGGGTGAAGCAAGCTCTGTGTAAGCAGACAGTAGCTCAGGGGCTGGAGTGTGGCTCAGTGGTGAAGTACTTGCCTACCATGCAAGAGGCCCTTGGTTTGATTCCCAGCACAGAGAGAGAAGGAGGAAGAGGTGGCAGAGAAACAAGATCTGGTGCTGATTGGGTGACAGGGAAGAAAAGAGTCAAGGGCATCCCAGGTTTCTGCTTCAGTGGCTGAGGGATACCCTTCACCCACACTGAGAGCAGGGAGGGAAGAGACACAAGTGTGGGTCTACAGGCAATGCTTACAGTCCTGAGGTCACTGAGTTTAAGGGAGTCTGGGAATCATCCAAGCAGAGACACCTGGTAGGTGAGGGAATCTGGGGCTCAGGAGAGGGAGCAGGGCTATAGGGGACATTTTAGGAGCTACCACCTTGTCCATACAATGGGTAGCATTGCAGTCTCACAGGGAGTCAGGGAATGAGAAGGGCGTGGATAGAAGTGAAGAATCAGGCCCCAGAGGGACAGGTTTAAGAAGCAGAATTGAGCTATGAAAAGATTGCTCTAGCTAAAGAGCGCAGAATAGAATGGAGACGGAGAAACACAGGCATGGGACAGTCATCCCTGAGGGATCGCAGTCCTGGGGGGAGCAGCCTGGTGTCTGTGGCCAAGCCACCTGCCTGTAGCCATCTCACAGGTTCAGGTTCATATAAGGCTCACAGAAGGTTGTGACAATGACAAGCACAAAACCCAAGCTGGAGACATGATGGCCACCCTCCCACACAGAAGGCCTTCTCCAGAAGAGCTGAGCGTCATACCCAGGGCCTCACTCATGCTAGTAGTATGTAGCTGAGTGGTCAAGTGCGCATGCTTGGTGGGTTTGATCCCCAACCCTGCAAAAGTAGGTATAGCCAATCACCATCTCTTCTGCTGCTGCTCCTCTTCTCCTTCCACTTCCTCCTCCAGGAAGCCTTCTTTGATCTTCCCTAGCTGTGCTCCCTCATAGCCTTTACCTCACACAGCTATAATCACATCTCCTTGCCCCTGGTTCCAACTGGACCAGGAGCTACTCCAGGGCAAATCCCCTATAGTAACTAGCGCAGTGTCAGACACGTAGTAGATAATAAATGAGCGCTCAAACGTCTGGCTTTAGCCCCTGCCCTCTCCGAGACTCTCAAATGAGCTGTAATTTTGAGGACATGGTGGAATCACAGGAAGAATTCTTACAGACTGCTCTCTGCTCACAAGCAGCTGTCTCCCTGCAAATTTTGGTGGGCCACGAAAACCATGTCAAAGACCCAAGGGGCTCAGCTGTGGGCGGATCATGACCTTGAGCAGCGTAGCTTCTCCTGCAGCGCCCCCTGGTGGTCAGCAGACTCCAAGCAGGCGGGGGACAGGGCAGGGGCTACTGCGCCCTGGACCCTCCGCCCCCGTCCCATGCACGTTTAACCCCCTGGCTCTTACAAGAGCTCATCGGGACAGCCCTTTGAGCCCAGCGTTTGGGGCAGGACAGGGCAGGCGTTGGAGCGCTGCTCTGCCCGCGAGCCGCGCTTGGGTGTCACCCAGCCCTGCAGAGCGGCCGACCCGCCTGGCCCGCCACCGCGGGGGACACCGAGCGAGCGGCGCTCAGGAAGCCGCGGATCGCACCAAACTGCACGCGCGACACACGGTTTTAGAGTAAAAGCGTTTATTTGTGGGAGCAGAAGTGTGACCGGAGCCAGTGACACGGGCCTTCCACGGGTGGGTGATTGGTCAGAGGGAATCGGTCTGGGTAGACTAAGGCACAAAAGGATCCGTGAAGCCGTGGGAGGAACTGGGTTCTCTCCCCCCAGGGAATGTCCAGGAAGGCAACTACTCCAGTCCTGGGCAGCTGGAAGGCCGCCCTGTGCCAGCTGACTGCTGGGCGCTACTGGCAGGCCCTGGCCCTTGCGGAGGTCTGCGGTGGCCAGCTAGCGCCCAGCAGGTGCCGAGTGGGAGTGGGACCAAGCACACCCCATTGTAGGTCGCCTGCGCTTCGCTGTTCCCAGGGTTGGTCATATGGTGGTGACCAGCTACAGGTGCTATGGAGCCCTTAAAATGTACTGGTGCCAATTAGGAACTGGATTGTAATTTTTACTTAAATTAATTAAAATTTAAATTTAAAAATAGAAATAGAAATTTTCATTATTTAACTTAAACAGTTGAAAATGTTGACTGAATTTTAATTAATTGCAATTTTATTTTTCAAGTATTTTTTATTATTCCCCGCCCCCTTATATGCAATTTTTGTTCATTGAAATTAAACACACTCAACTCAGTTGCTGAAAAACTTTTAAGTATATCTGGAAGATGTGAATATTTTTGCGATTGTAAATTTAAACTGATCTAAATTTGGAGAAAAATATTTCTGATGTTTTAATATCTGATAGGGCTCCAAAAGTCTCACAGGATTCAAAGACTGGGCATGCAAAACAGAATGTAAATTGCCTTATTAATAATTGGGTGCAGAGGTTCACATCTATAATCCTAGCTACTTGGGAGGCTGAAATTGGGAGGATCACAGCTCAAGGCCAGCCCAGGAAAATAGTTCCCAAGACCCCCATCTCCAAAATAACCAGAGAAAAATGAACTGGAGGTGTGGCTCAAGTAATAGAGCACCTGATTTGCAAGCATGAAATTCTGAGTTCAAACCCAAACCCCACCAAAAAAAAAAAAGTCCAATTCAAATAATAATATTTGAATGCAGCATGGTGATACATTTCTTTAATCCCAGCTACTGTGTGTTGGGGGGTAATAGTAAATGCCTATAATTCCAGCTGCTCGGAGGAAGAAGGATCACTGAGGCTCACTTGGGCAAAAGTGGGGAAAACTTATCTGAAAAACAAACTAAAAGCAAAAGGTCAAAAAAAGCACTGTAGTTCAAGGCCCTGAGTTCAATTCCCAGTACCACAAAATAATAATAATAGTAATGAAGTATGTGATTAAATGAGCTAAATGAAGTGTACAATTTAAAATAATCTTACCTGTTTCTTCTCTTTTCTCCAGTAGAAAGCGATATATGTGTTTATCACATGTGTTAGATTTCTCTTAGACTCTTCTGTGGATCTCCCATTCAGGCCAGGCCTTTGGCCTTCTTTGTGGTCTTGCCTACTGTCTGGAGCTATTGACATGGGCCAGAGCAGAGCAGGGGGCAGTGGTTGTAGGGGAGACCCCCCTCCTGTCAGGGAGCAAGGGGCCAGGAGTGGTTGCCTTTGCTAGAAGTCATGGAGGGGACGGGGGCAGTCCACTGGGAAGCAGGTGGTCCAGGAGAGGTCAGTCTGTGATTAGGTCATGATACAAGCAACACCCCACTCTGGCCAGTCAAGAAGAGAAAGAAGTCAGAGTTACAAGACTTAGGACTTGCTTGGTCACAAGCTCTAACCACATGCAGAGCAGATGGCACAAGCCCAACTTACCATTTGGGGCAGGAGTTCCAGCTGGGGCTGAGGAGCCCAGGGAGGAAGTCACCTGTAGAGAACCCCAGCCCCACTTGGGACCAGATTACCCAACATTCCATGCACCACTCCCAGCTGCCACCACTGTGGGATTCCTGATACCCTGCGAACCATGGCATGGCCCAGGTGTCAGTCTATGTCTCCCTTCCCAATAAGGCAGCCCTAAGAATAGGGCTACCAGAGGATTCTGATTCGATGGCCAACTGTGTAAGAAGGCTGTGTGTAGAATCCTGGTCATCCACCTTGCTTTGTGACCCCCTCCCCCCCACACACACACCTGCCCCTCCAATTCCAAAGCTATGCAAGTGGCAGGCTGCCCCAGCCAAATTCCACCTGTGTCCCAATCCTTCATCCATTAATACACAAAAGCAGGTCAGAGGACTCCTGCAGCCCTCTTCCAGCCAGCTTCCTCTACCGTGCTGGCTGCGTTTGCCGTGCCAACAGGACAAAGTCCAGCAGCGTCACAGGGCTCTGCTAAAGCACAGACTGCCTTCAAGTTCAGCATGCTCATTGGCCTCCCCAGAGAGGTTTGTCCCTGAGTTCAAGTTGGGTAAGAGGCCCATTTTCATCACAGGTCTGGGGCCTCAGCACTTAGCCCTTGGCAGGCTTGCCTGGAGGTTTTGATTTGAGGGACTCTTGGTGACAAACACCTAAGAGGAGAGAAATTGAGGTGTGACTATTACAAAGGTTTGTCTGAGACTCAGTTAAGGCCCATGTAGCTCTGGTTAAACACGTGTGTGTGCACACCCACACCCGCTATTGTGTACCACACGGAAGCTAGCTTTCAAAACCATCACCGCTTAAATATTTACTTCTGATTTCCAGCTATGAGTTTCCTAACTCCAGCCAGTAGGACTGTGGAGATGTCCCCCAGGGCTGGAGGACTTTGGCCATAGACTATTCCAGAGGCTTAGCCAGTTCTCAGATTCCCTGCTCCCAAGGCTCTTGTCAGGAACACACCGTGAGAATGAAAAAGATCCTTTCTGCTTTTGATACGGCACCAGTGAGTGAGGTGCTGTTTGTGTTACTAGGTAGAAGAAATAATCCATTCCAGTTGAAGCAGCAAAACTTCTGCCACGTTAGAGATTAGTATACGAGAGCCCAGGTGGTGGCCTGGCTGGTGCCCTTGCCCATGGCTCCTAGGGGCGAGCAACCCCATCCAGGGCCTTGGCCTCACCCAGGCCACCCCAACCTTCCTGCCTTCTGCATGTCCCTCAGGAAAGAGACCCACCCAGACCACCCCTCTGTTGCCTAACTCTTCTGTGTGCTGGGAAACAGCCTTAAGACTGTCCTTACAGAATGGCCTGTGTCCCAAGCCAGACAGATCTCAATCCTGCTTTACAAACTGGGAGGCAAAACCCAAATTTCAGTAGATAAATACCTTTTCCCTTCAATTGTTAGGAATATTGAAGGGAATAAAAAATAATGCATAACCCACTCTTTAGACCAAAGACAGCAAACTCAAATGCCACCCTGACCAGCACCAGGCAGAAGGGCAGTGAGGGTGGGGAGGGTGGAAAAGGAGCTCAAAGTGAGGAAGAGGAAGTCAGTCAGACAACTGGAGATAAAGGCATGCCCACTCTCCAACCAGGAAACTACACTTTTTTTTTTTTTTTGTGGTACTGGAGTTTGAACTCAGGGCCTACACCTAGAGCCACTCCACCAGCTCTTTTTTTGTGATGGGTATTTTTGAGATAGGGTCTCATGAACTATTTGCCCAGGGTTGGCTTCAGACTGCAATCCTCCTGATCTCTGCCTCCTGAGTAGCTAGTATTACAGGTATGAGCCACCTGAAACTAGATTTTTTTAATGTGCAATCTCCGAAGTTTTAAATATTGGTGATAAATACAAAAAATTGTTAAACCTTGTAACTTTTGCCTTAGACAAATTGCTAGCTTAAAAAAGCATCCTTCTCCCCCACCAAATAATAAAACACCAACAAATTATTACATAGAAATCAATAGAGAAATAGAAAAATACAGCAGCTTCAAAAATACCAGTCTCCCCATTTAAAAACAAAATCAGCAAAGCCAATTAGTCAAAATTCCTTAAGTTCATTCTTGTCTAAAGATGGACACCAGCTGGATCCATCTGGGGGGCATAACCCTGCATTGTTAAAATGGTGCCCGCTGCCACCCAACTCCAAGAAAGATACAAGCCATGAGGCCAGGAAGGGGTAGGATTAGGCTCCTGATACAGAGAAGAAATACAGAGAGGGAAGGGCTCCTCAGACAGAGGCCCCCGTTCTACAGTGTGGGACCATCAGAGAGAGCTCATGGTACTACTGGAAGGCATTGCCACCTCTTGGAGGCACAAGTGCACATCTGCCGTGTGAATCCTGAATGAATGAGTGAATGAATGGGAAGTATCCCTCATATAGGGCCTCCCACCATGGAAAAATCATGAACTGCCCCTGCCTTTCCAAAGCCTGGACTTCTGATGCAGGCAAGGAAGACAAGAGGGCTAATGCCAAGTCACCTCTGTGTGTGAACAGTTGGCCTTGGTGGCTGTAGGGAATATGGTCCACTCTGTCTGACTCACAGACACAGAGGAAAGGATTCACGAACCTGTGGGTTGAGTCTGCTTTGACCTTGGGCCCTGAGACCAGGCACTAGGCCTGAGCATCCTATGCCTCTAGCTTTCCTTCTGGTTGGTGCTGTGGGCAGCACCCAGTAGTCAATCTTATCCTCAAGGGACTTGGTGCAAAAAGTCAATGTCAACCTGAGAAAGACAGAGGCCCTTTCTTCTCATAGGCATGCAAGGCTATTTCTGTCCTGGCCCTGCAACACACAGACTGTCTTGGCTCTGGCCCAACAGGCACCCACTGTAACAGTGAGATCTTTATTTTGCCTAATTTTGGGAGCCAAGATCCCAGGAAGCCTGAGAGTGACTCTTCCTAGAATGACAGGGAGAATGGATTGGCCCCTCCAGTTTCTCAAAGGTGTCACAGTTGGCATTTTGAATGAATCAATTCTTTGCTGTTAGACTGTTCTGAATATTCTGAGATGCCCACTGACTGCCAGAGGCAGTCACAGTGACACCACCCCCAAACACACATATACACAAATTTCCAATGTAGCCTGAGGGGCAACCTAGCCCTTAGTTGAAACTGGTCTGGCAGTTTCCTCAATCATTTGGGAAACAGATCCCCAGAGACTGAGTGACATGTCCAAGGGCACACCCCAGATGTGATGACTTCTGATCCAGAGCTCTTTCCAGCTGTAGCCTTGTGCATGCGCCCAGAGCACTGCACACACCCTAGGGTTCCAAAGCTCTGCAAGGCCTCAGGGAAGAGAGTCACATGTCCCCCTGGCTTAGAGAAACCAAGGCACAGAGACAAAACAAGCTCACTGTGATTACAGTGAGCCAATGCTAAGTGGGGAGTAGGTCCCAGCTTCTCCTAGGTCCTGCTTGTCCTAGCAAGTCCCACTGCCTTGCTGGCTCAGTGAAGGAGGCAGGCCCCCAAGCAGGTGGAGTCTTTAGAGTCACCATCAGCTGAGGTCATCATGGAGACATGGGGGCTCAATGAGAAGGGCCAGGCCCCAGGCCATAGGTCAGAGCCAGGGACAGTCCCAGAGTCCAGCCTTCATCCTGTGCTTCCCATGGGCTCAGGGGGCATGTGGACAACTCTAGGCTCACTCCTCTGGTCTTCACAGTCTCCGTTGGGAAACATGGCTGTCAGTGCCAGCTCCTCCTCTGAGTCCTGGGAGTTCCCTGGAATACAGGAGAAGGAATGACCCAATGAGAAGACCAAGTTTATGAGTTGGTAGCAAGGACTGAAAGGGAGGATGCTGGCCCTGGTGAGTAACTACTCTAAAAGGTCAAACAAACAAAAAAAGTCAAACAAAATACAGATCAAAAACTTTCAAAAATGTATATATCTGCCAGGTCCTGGTGGCTCACACCTGTAATCCTAGCTACTCAGGAGGCAGAGATCAGGAGGATCATGGTTTGAAGCCAGCCCAGGCAAATAGTTCTGCGAGAACCTATCTCGAAAAACTCTCCACAAAATAGGGCTGGTGGAGTGGCTCAAGGTAAAGGCCCTGAGTTCAAGTTCCAGTACTGCAAAAGAAAACAAAAAGTACATCCCTTTGACCCAGCAGCTCCACTTTCAGGAATTTATCCTAAGGAAATAACCAGTGGTGCTGCTTCAGCCATCTTGTTATAGGTCTTGGGATGAAGCCAACTCTGAGGATGGCACAGCAGAGAGAGAGAAAAGACGTGAGACCTTGAGGGCATCACGGAGCTCCTGAATCAACCAACTCTGAAGTCAGCTCTGCCTATGGAATGTCTCTTCGGGAAGACAATGAACCCCCTTACAGCTTAGGCTGCTTGCAGTTATGGCTCCCCCACCTTAGCTATATGCATCCTAATGGATCTTGAGTCTATTTCCAGAGAAGGATCTGGGTGAGTAAATTATGTCCTCCCACATAAGATGGAATCCAGCATTAAAACTGATGTAGGGCCGGGGATGTGGCTCAGTGGTAGAGCCCTTGCCTCGCATGCACAAGGCCCAGGGTTTGATCTCCAGCACCCCAAAAAAGCAAAGAAAACAAAAAAAGAAGGAAAAGGAGATGGAGAAAGAGAAGAAGAAAGAAGATGCCACACAGAATTCTAAACACATGTACAAATGCATACAAGTAAAACTAGAGAAATGTGAGTATCATCCATGCCTGTCTCAACATCCATATTCTGGTTGGGATCCTGCACTGGAGTTTTGCAAAATGTCGCCATGGGAGGAGACTGGACAAAGTATACATAGTATCTCTATATTATTCCTCATAACTGCATGTTAATCTGCAATTACCTTAAAAAGATGTTGACATATAATTATTGTTGTGGAAAGACAGTCACAATATGAAGGAAGCAGATTCTAAAATAGTATGTACAAACAATATGTGAACATACTGTCCTCTTTATCATTCAGACAATAAATGCATATATATATAGGTTCAACCAACCTTGAGTTGAAAAAATTTTCATCTGTACTGAACATGTACAGATTTCTTGTCATTATTACCTAAAAAATACAGCATAACAACACTTTTCACAGCATTCACATTGTATCAGGGACTATAAAAAATCTAAAGATGATTTTAAAAAAACAGGAGACTATGCACAAGTCAAATGCAAATACTATGCTCTTTCATAGAGGGGATTTGAGTACCTGCAAAATTTTCCAGGGATCCTAGAACTAACCTCCTTTAGATTCTGAGGGACAGCTGTATATAGTCCATAGAAATAAATGCAACTTATTTTTAATACCTCCACCTCTACAAGAGATTTGCTATATTCCACAGAAAGGGAGGATACCCAAGATTTATGTAAAATTGTTGTTTTATGGCACTGGGGGGTTTGAACTCAGGACCTTGCACTTGCCTAACAAGTGCAATACCACTTGAACCATGCCTCTAGCCTTTTTTGCTTCAATTTGTTTTTCAGAATAGGTCTCAGGTTTTTGCCTGGGGTCAGTTTGGGGCCATGATCCTCCTACCTCCGCCTCCTGTGTAGCAAGATTATAGCTATGCACCACCACACCGTGCCCTTTACAATTGTGAATGATTCCTTTGCTTTATTTTTTTTTCCTTCAGCTTCTAGTTATATACAAAATAATAGTAATGACCAAGAGGTTAAAGTTAATGTTTTTGTTACTGAATAGTTTAAATACTGGCTGCATTCTGCAGATTATATAAATATTATATATAAATATTCAAATTTATATGGCACAAGGAGACAAATAGACCAGATAAATGGTCTACCCCCCAAAATTCATTGTATTTACTGTTGGATGATGGGATTAAGTTAAAGATTTTTAATATTTGTTTTCCATTTATAAAAATATTGTTTTGTTGCTATGTTGCCCAAGCTGGCCTTGAACTCACCATCCTCCTGCCCTCAGCTTCCCAAGTGCTTAGATGACAGGTATGTGCTTCCATACTTGGCTTTTTTTTTTTTTCTGGTGGGACTAGGGTTTGAACTCAGGGCTTTGCTTGAGCCATACCTCCAGTCTGTTTTTCTCTGGTTATTTTGGAGATGGGGTCTCCTGAACTCTTTGCTCCCAAGCTGACCTCCAAGCATGATCCTCCAGATCTCAGCCTCACAAGTAGTTAGGATTACAGGTATGAGCCACTGGTGCCTGGCTTCAGCTACTTTTTTGAGCTTTCAGCTGTGACAGGCAAAATTCTAAGTGCCTAACATTCAGCTCTTTAAGTGTACTAACCCTATATAAACCCTCCCTTGGGTGTGGGTGAGCTCTGTGAATACCACTGGATAGACACTGTGAATTAGCATGCTCAGGTGACAAGGGATGGCTAGTCCCGCCTGTGGGTACCTTCTGTTCTGAGCCCCCTCTTAGACTGGTGGTCGAGGTGGTAACTATTGAAAGGGAGCCTGTGGGAGGCTGGCCTGCTGGGGTCTGCTGGAGCAGAAAATAGCACTGGCAACTGCCAGCAGGAAGTCAGGGATCTAAGAAATGTGTGTTTTAAGCCACTAAGTTTGTGGCAATTTGTTAAGCAGCAATAGAAGGTGAATATGTCAACTAATGATTGTTTTTAAAATAAGAGACACAGAGAAGCTTATTTTAAACCACTGCCTACTGTCAGTCCCTCTACTCTTTCTCACTTTCACTTATCAGCTGGATGACTGCACCCTAAAAATTACCCTTGTGAGTCGCCTCCTCTCTAGTCCCACACTGCCCTTTTCTCTCCAGGCTGCCTATATCCCTCCTGGGACTGCTGTGGTCTCCTCTAGCTGGGCTCTACCTCTGCTGTCTCTGCCCTCACAATCCACCATCTCTTTAAACATAGCCCAAATCTGGAAACCCTTGCTCAGAAGTTGCCAGTGGCCCTGCACCCCTGAAGGGCAGCCAAGGCCCCCATTTGGTCCAACTCCCTACCTGGCCTCAGCTCTCCCTGTCTTCTTCCTCAGGTGTTCCTTTTCTGAGCATAACATCTGCAAGTCAAGGTTCTTCTCTGGGTGCTATCTCTACAAACTTTCCTGTTTGCCTATGGGGAGCCCTCCATCCCCAGGTCGAATGTCACTGCCTCCATGACACTCCCCGGATTCTCAGGGGACACTGGCCCCGTGTACCCGACCATGCACAAGGTGACACCTATGCTACAGTCTTCTTCACACCTCCTTCACTAGCTGGAGACTCCTGGAGAAACAGGCACCTCTCATGTTCACTCCTGTGCCTGGCCCAGAGCAGGTGCTCTGTGGATGTTTGTTCACTGACTTTCTTTTTTTTAGCAGCACTGCAGTTTGAACTCAGGGCCTCATGCTTGCTAGGCAGGCGCTCTTACTGCTTGAGCCACTCTGCCAACCCATGGTTTACTCACTGTCTTTAAGGCACCTGTGCCCACATACTCAGCCATTAGGGACCAGGCGACTGAAGCACTTACTCTGAGCTGGGTCTCTGGAGGTAGTAGCATCTTGGTCCTTCCTCTGGCTCCAGGGACCCCAGGAAAAGCAGGACAGCAGTCCTGGTAGGCCAGGCCTCTCCCAGGCGCCTTCTGCAAAAACGAACCCAAAACCCAAGAGGCAGAGGTTAAACATTACCTCTGCTCAGAGACTCTGCTCAACAAACCAAGAGCCTCAGCAGGGTGCCAGGGGCTCATGCCTGTCACCCTAGCTACTCAGGAGGCAAAGATCAGGAGGATGGTGGCAGAGCCACTCCAGGCAAATAGTTCGCGAGATCCTATCTCAAAAAAACCCCAGCACATAAAAAGGCTGGTGGAATGGCTCAAGGTGTAGACCCTGAGTTCAAACCACAGTACTGAAGAAACAAACAAATAAAAAACCCAAGAGCCTTGATTATCAACTGCCCCAATTCCACTGGCTGAGTCTCTCACGTCACTCTCACAAAACCCATGACGTGCACCCCATGCTGGGGAAGCAATTGCGACAAAATGACGTGGAATTAATTAAAGCACCAAAGAAAACGTTTCCCTGCGTTCTTTTTTATTAGCCACATATAAAACCATTACAGTTTGAGACGATGTTGACGCCAGTTGTCTTATTAAAAGTATACCACCCCAGTTATCTTGGAGAGCATCCCAGATTCCCAACTACCTGGAGTAGAAGCAACAGGAACAATGTTTAAAAAAAAAAAAGTGGACTAGGGGTGTAGCTCAGTGGTAGAGCACTTGGCTAGTATTTGCAAGGCACTGCAAAAAGATAAAAACTCCTGACAGCAGACCCCATCCACCCACCCACCCACACAAAAATTCTGCCCACAATCTCTACTCAGTGCCTATTTACTCTTAATTCACGCTTAGTTCTCACAAGACTGGATCCTATAGGTTTTCAACAAGAGGCAGCTGGGACACAGACGGGTAAAAGGGCACTGCCACAAGCCAAACAACTCACTAAAACAAGAATCATCATCAAGCAGTCAGGCAGTGAGGAAAGAGGCTGGAAAAACTTTTGCAAAACAGAGTAACTGCTAGGAGAACCTTAGCAACATAAGCCAACCCATTTGGCACAAGGGTAATACTGCTGCCCGCTGCAAAAGCTACAAAGAAATGGATGGGAATCAGTTACAATTAAACTTGTTAATAACAGGTTTCATTTTGTTCAGTGTGTTTTTATCAAAGGAAGGAACAGTTCAACATAGTAGAGAATGATGCCTTCACAATGTGTTACAATTTCAAGTGTTAGTGTTTATTTTAAAAGAGGCAAAGATTCCTTCGCCCATTCTGCATGCCACGGCAATGCAAATGTGCTTAACTCCCAAAAGAGCAGTGACAAAACCATGTGTAAAGCACAGAAAGCCAGAGGGCAAAAGGTTCTGGGATTTCACTCAGCGATCTTGCAAACTAAGAGAGCACAAGTTTCCAAGGAGGCTTCCCGGAGGACAGGAGGGATAGACTGGCCACAGGAAGAGAAAGAGGAGGGGAGAAAAGGCTTTTCAGGCCCAGGCAAGAGCCCTGGGAACAAAACCTTAAGAGGTCAGAGCCTGAGAACCGCTGGGGAATTGGTAAGTTGTTCCGTGGGAACGGGAGAGGGTTAAGAGAGTTTTCTAGGCAGCAGCTTATTCGGATCCAGGAAATTTGTTTGAATTCCCTTCTTTCCCCCAGGGCCAGGGGGATGTGACAATCAGATGGGGTGCTGGCAGATTCAGTGCAGCCTCAACAGCCTCAACAGAAAGGGGGAGTGGCCTGGGCAGGAACCCAAGGACAGCCTCCAGCCCACAGGGAGACCGTTCGCCGGGCTGGCAGGTGCATTTAAGATATTTGTAACGTCACAGGCACCAGGTCTGAGGCCCAACACAGTCGCCTCTCTAACTCTTTAGGAGCAGGGGATGGAGGGGAGGGGACTAGGAGCTGGGGAGCGCAAAGATCTCCCAGTTTGCCGAACCCAGCTCTACTCAACGTTCACATTGGAATCCCAGACCACTATTCCTGTGAGACCTTGCGTACCAGGAGGGAGAAGATTCTGACCCTTCTGCGGATGGCCGCAGTCCCCGGGCTAGGGAAAAACCCTCACTTCCCTCTGCACTTCAGGAGGGAGTAGAGGGGAAAGACGGCCTCGGCACACCCGGGGGTGGGGGCGGAGACACCGCAGTGGGTGCACAACCTGGGTGGGAAGCCAGGAATCGCAGGGAAATGCCGTGTTCTAAGTCCCTCGCCCCTCCCCCGCACCGACAAGTCCCTGACACCTTCTCTATCTCAGCCTGTGACGCCGCGGAACTTCCACACAGTCTCCACCGCTGCTGTCCTGCAGCGCCTGACGCATTCCTGGCTGCGCTGCGCTCCAGGCACGGACAATCCCTAGTCCCAGTTCCCGGACATCAACCCCCAATTGTCCCAAACTTTTGCATACCGAGGCTTTTCCATCTTTTTCTCCAACCCCATTTCCCCAACTCCTAGATCTTTGCCCTGCGCAGTCCAGTCCTTCTCCCTACACACTTACCGGCCGACCGCTTGTCCCTTGGCTCTCCTAGGCCCCTGCGTGTCGCGTGTACTCGGGATCCTGCCAGGACAGACTCTACCCCTTGCGCAGGGTCTGCTCCCCTTGGCTGGATTCCCGATGTGGGCCTCAGTTTACCTCAGTGCACAACGTGGGGCGCCGTCCTAAGGGGGTCTAACTTGAGGGGCTTCCCCAGCCACCTCCCGCCCGCGCCCTGCCGAGCTCCGCGCAGCCTCACCTGGTCGCCCGGGTCCCGCAGCTTGCAGGGCCCGGCAGGCGGCCGCCTGGACAGCCAGGCTGGAGGCCGGGCAGCCGGGACAGTAGGCGGCAGCCTGCACGGGGCCCCCTGCCTGGCGGCCGAACACGGCGCGCAGCAGCGCCTCTAGCAACCGCAGCCCCGGTGCCACCGCGTCCTCCGGCCCCGCCTCGGCCACCAGCACCCCGACCAACGCCGCGCCGGCGGGTCGCCGGCCGCGCACATCCCGCAGCATCTCCCGCAGCCGACGCCGCGGCTCCCGGGCTGCCAGCGACGACGCGCGGCACAGCACGAACACGAGCGGCGAGCGGATGCCGCGCGCCGCCGTCGCCACCCCCGGTGACCTCTGCGGCCCGCTGGCCGCCGCGGGCCCCGCGCCCTCCGTCTCCGCGCAGCCCGGCTTGCCCGAGGCTGGCTCCGGCGGGAAGACGGCGCGGGCGAAGTCCCGCAGCAGCGCGCGGCTCTGCTCGCGCTCCCACAGCTCGCCCACCAGCAGCACCTGCCCGCGGCCGCCCGCCGCCTCCACCAGCGCCCGGAAGCGCGGCTCGGCCGGGCTCGCGGGCGCCGCCAGCGCCTCCAGCTCGCGCTCCATGCTCGCCGCCGCCGCCCCGCGCACCGCCGCCCGGGTGCACCGCTGCCCGCCTCTCGGGGCGGC